GTGATTATGGATGTAATACTAAAATATTTTCAAATATTAATGACAAATTTTAGAAAAGAGAAATGTAAGTTGAAAACATGTAAATTTGTTGAATTAAATTCAATTTTCAAGTTTTAATAAAAACAGAGACAAGACTATTTTCAAGTAAATACACCTTGTTTAGATATTTAGACCATTTGATTTACTTCAGATGGAAACAACATTGATATGGTGAGCTACTTGTACCATTAACGGGATGAAGAAAAGATGAACCAACACAAAGGCAAGTTGATAAAGATTTTAATTAAGTTACAATCACACATGTTTTTGGTTATAATAAATAGAATATACAATGTCTTTCTCCAGTTCCTTTTACAAATAATTTAGTCAGAAAATACATTTCAGTTAATTAATTTAGAAAACATTGAATTCAGTAACAAAAAGCAGTGAAAAAGGAGCATGATTTTACTAATATTCATATATATACTATATACACTTTTTGTAGACACACACGTAGATAGAACAATCTCAGCCAAATTGTAGTTACATCAATCATTAATATTAATCCGGTACCAACTGTGACTTATTTCAATGGGTTATGAAATATCAATATTGCAACCTTAAAAAATCAATAAATTAACTATAAAAAAATATCAAAGAACCATGCTTTGACCTAAAACCTTGTGTAAAATACAATATCAGTTATTTGCTTTTTAATTTCTTTATTTTGAGACTGTAATACTCCTTCTGGAGTTCAAGCACTTCGATTTCTAATCTTTCTCTCTTTTCCCTTAGTGAGACTTCTGAAGGGCTGAGCACCTGAACAGGTGTGTGAAATTCCAGAGGAATGTAGTCATATCCAGCACACAGCTGCTGGTTTTTGCTCGCGCTGGTGATGGCCGGGGGTGTGACGTTGATGGGGTTCTGGTATGAGGACCCAGACTCCGGAGCACTGAAACAAAAATGATAGTTTGTGTTGATGTATCATTTAAAGTGGGGAATCCTTTTGTGTGAATAGATTATATTGTCTGTAAAACCGTTGACACTTTTTGTTTATTTTAACTAAGTACATTCATTAATTTGAGATTGCTGGTCATAACAATGATAGTTCAATGACAGTTCTTATATTGACCAAATATATTGAACACATTTTTAATTGTGAATTGTGAATAGCAGTATAGTACATATTTTTTTACGTAGGGTACCTTGTTGTACTGGCATGATCAGGGAATGAATCAAAGTCATCCAATCCACTTATGGTAGTGTTATCACGTCCCAGGATGTTTTGAACAACCTCGGCAACTTTCGACAATTCAGGTCCAGCTGGACCATCACCTGTAAATAATTACATGAATTTTGTCATTCTTTCATATCTCATCAATTGAACTTTGTATCCTATTTCCTCTATTGATTTTGTATATGTACAGTGTGTAAATCTATATCTGTTGTTAGAGTCATCAATATACCCAAGTTATTCAAATTTGATACTGTTTTAAATTTTATATCATGATATATATATGCTAAAGTTATTCTTCATCCACTGGGATGTAGTATTTATGCAGCATGTTTATATTATTCTGGATTCAAATAGGAATGTCATTTTCACATTATATATATGAAATAAATGAAAACAAAATAAATTGTAAATAATTTTTCCTTTGGCATGATCATCAATTTATGTACTTGGATTATGGGTTATTTTCATCCAAAACCTTAAAGGCAGTAGGAGAAAAAAAGAAAACAATTTTGATTTTGATTGGAGAGTATAAATACATAGATTCAGATCCATTTTTCATTTTATGCCAACATCTTTTACTTAATAGAAATTCAAAGCAAAATTTTAACTTTTAGTGAACAATTCATACATTTTTTCCAAAAGACAAATGAAACTCAGAAAGTGATAGGGGATTCTGTAATCAAAGGAATTAAATTGCTGTAGCCTTATACAGTCAAAAGTCCAGTTAATCCGACATTGTTGGTTGCATATGATTATGTCGGATTAACGAGTATGTCGGATAAACGAAATTAGGTATTATCAACGTTCGTGATCTAAAATTGGACAACTACACGATAGATAACGATTCAAACATGTTGTAATAAAAAAGGAAATATTCCTATTGTTGTGTTACATTGTTCGCGGAATATGTTTTCTAATCATGCAACCTCTAAAGTTTATCACAAAACACAAAGTTTATCTCTGCAGCCGTTTAAATATGCAGCTACTCGCAGACTCGTCTCGCATCAAAACACGGGGCTATGTACTTGCGGGCAGATGAACATGGAGTACGCTGATCACCGTGTCGGATTAACGAGACTGATTAATGAGTGATTTCAGCAAATCGTTGCAAATTATGTGTGTTTCGGAGCCGGAGTGCGAAACTGTCGGATTAACGGGTCTAAACAGCACTGATTAATCGGTTCCCATCATTTGTGTCGGATAAAGCCGATTGTCGGATGAACGAGTGTCGGATAAACGAGACTTGACTGTATTATTCATTTATTATTGCAATTACATTTTTACTATTAAAATGAATTATTTTTACCTGTACCAGTGAGCTGTTTTCTCTTGGTGGCTATCTCCTCTCTACTGTTAGACTGGAGAAGCCACCACTTCTTCATAATGTCATCTTTGGTTCTTTGGTTATCCAAAGATCTGCTGGGATGTGCACTATTAATTTGGTTGGTTATATCATCCCAACATTTCTTCTTATCATCAGAAGAAAGGTTGGGCCCAAATTTCCCCTTAATTGTAGCCTTGTTGGCTTCTATTAGTTGCACTAGCAAAAGACATTCTTCTTTTGACCAATTCGGTTTTTCGGCCCATTTTACCTTTTGTTCGTCTGCTGTGAGATTTTACGAACGCTTCTTCTGGCAAAGTGCCAAATAGTATTTTATTAAATTTTATTAAAATTAATGAAATGCCGATACAACAAGTAAACTGAATCATAAAAAATAAACATATATTTATTTAACATTGGAAAAAATCACTGTTGACAATTGACAATTCAGTGTCACCGGGAAATACCCAGATCGTCCGGATTTAAGACAATAGTTACACTTCCGTTACTAAAAATAACTTGGATATTCCCTAGTTACGAGATAGTAGTTGCTCTAAGAGTTTTCCTATACGTTAAGAGTTCGTTGACTCTTAGGAGAACTTTTAGAGTAACTCTCAGGAGTTAGCAGCATTTTTTTATGAATCGATATGTAGGCTTTCTATGTATTCATGCGCACGTTTTTTTGTGAAAAGGCTTAATATATGTGAAAGGGGTTTCCGTAGCAAACAGAAAACCTTTTTTTAACCAATCAGAATCAAACATTCGTCAACGTCATAGTAGAATTGTAAATAACGTGTTACATTCCCTGCATGAGATACTTGTAAATAACGTGTTACATCTCCTGGAAGAGGTACTTATAAATAACGTGTTGCATCCACTCCAAGAGTTTCTTGTAAATAACGTGTTGCACCCCCTGCATGAGTTACTTGCAAATAGCGAGTTGCATCCCCTGCATGAGTTACTTGTAAATAACGTGTTACATCTCCTGGAAGAGGTACTTGTTAATAACGTGTTACATCCCCTGGAAGAGGTACTTGTAAATAACGTGTTACATCCCCTGCATGAGTTACTTGTAAATAACGTGTTACATCCCCTGCATGAGTTACTTGTTAATAACGTGTTACATCCCCTGCATGAGTTACTTGTTAATAACGTATTACATCCCCTGCATGAGGTACTTGTTAATAACGTATTACATCCCCTGCATGAGGTACTTGTTAATAACGTATTATATCCACTCCAAGAGGTACTCATCGTGTGTTATATCACCTGCAGGATTTACAAGTAAATAACGTGATATATCACCTGCACTAAATACCTATAATATTCCTTGCAAGAGTTACTCGCTGTGCAGAGTTGCGTCCCTTGACCACGCCAGCGAAATATGATCGTGGGTTCGAATTCTAGTTCGCCGCGGTTCTGCTTCTAGGTCTGCATATTACCTGTGATCGTTGGTTTCATTTCTGAGACCCGCATCACTTAGGGCTTTCCTCACAAATTAAATTGACACGTGGTGATGTCAGTGAAGTACTGTTCAAAGCGTTAAACTCACTCATTCCCTCTGAATCAGGGAACGGTTCGGAAAACAGAAGGAAAACATTTATTCTTAAGCAAACTAGTTAGACTTAGTGCTTATATATGAAAACCGTCCTGGATAAAAACAACAGAAAACCCAAAATGTAAATGGAATATGATCTGGTTTCCGATTGCCACACATGTGATACGCTCGTATAATTTCTCTCCCTCTGTGTATAAACTTTGTTGGGCTTGGCAATAACTGCAGCTTATTATAGGATTTATTCCATAAAATGACTACACGGACGACAAAAGTATCACGTTTTACTCTTGCCGAAGAAAGAATGGAGATAACGTACAAAGTAGCAACCTAATTTAACAAATATATACAAAATGTATATATATACTCAAAGAAACGCAAAAGTAGTAAAATCGTAAATATCTGACAGAGTGTTGCCGACATCCATACACAATTAATGCCAAAACTGAATTGGTCATTTCAGCATGGGTTGGAATTGATTTGTGTGGAAAGAATGAGGTACGGCAGAAATGTGGCGAAAAGATGAAATAGCGCAAAAAGACAACCACGCCGAAACACACCAACATGACATGCACGTGTAAAATCACTTCTGAGTGAGTGACTTTCATTCTTTCTTCGATATGATATTGTGTGGGACCTGTCTCAGGCGAACCAGGCATTTGCTGCCACTGAGTGATTGAGTTGATAGTTTAGGTCATGATTAATCTAGATAGCGATGAGGAAGATATCATATTGCCAATTTGTTGAACTATTTGCATCATGGCTGCTTAGTTTACATGCATATTTAATATTTTCTGACAAGTGTCTCTTCGCTCTATGACGCAGATATATTTCCGATGCGACGCTATAAGTAATTCTTCCCATTGCCGGTAATTTCGCGAAAACATATCAACACAATACGAAAAAAATCCTTTTTATTCATTTTACACATGGAGACAGATCATGTTTCGGTGCTTATATGTTTTGTCAGAGATCACTGACAAGAACATATTGCACAGAAAGAACAGTTGACTCAACTAAAGCTGCGTAAAGCAACAAAATATAACACAACCCACCACCTTTGAAACTGCAGGGCCAGAGGAACAGTGAGTGCGGTGACCAGCAAGTGTCTCCTCTTTGGCCTGTTGCAGCGTGCGTGCGTGCGTGCGTGCGTGCGTGCGTATGTTTAATGCCGCAATATTCCAGCTATATGAAGGCGGCCTGTAGATAATCGTGTCTGGATCAGCAAATCTGTGAACAATGATCCACGCCGTCGGGGTACCATGACACGACATCAACTAAGTCACCGAGCCTGACCACCCGATCCATCAAGACCAGCAAAGGTTTAGAATAACGCCTACAGCTAATGCGATGAGTGAAATTGAACTCCTCTTTAGACGGCACACGGCCTCTCAGAAAAGAGTGTAAAACATTGGTGATGCCGGGTTGTGGTAGATTTTTGATTAACGCTTACTTAATCATATGTGTATCTTAGTGATAAGGAGATATGGAGGAGACACCGGGGATCAAGAAAATGAGAACAACATCGATCGCAAAAGTTTTAAAAAATGCCTCAAACTAATAATTATCAAGTTCACTTCTGACACGGGATTCTTGACCAGAACCTAATTCTTTCTCCTTTCTCCTACAAAAATATATCTGCACGCACATTTACTCTTCGATGGATCATTTCAAACTTGCAACATATAAATGTAATTACGTATTATTATAACCAGGGGTATGTCAAAATGTGATGCTACTTTGCCGCTGCAATGAGTCATCATACAGAATGATCAACTGAGAAACTTAAAATTCCCACACTAAGCAGTATTTTCGTGTTTTATGTGACAAGAAATCAAGATTGATCATAAGGTAGTAAGGTATTCGGACAGGGAGCAAATGTTAAATCATGAAAGGTGAAAAAAATGTATCCAGTAGTGTGTAACAACAGGGTTGCGATTCATAGGACAGTGAGGGTACACTGTTCTGATAGTCGCTGTGTGACATCAACTCACTCTCACTCACTCTTGTCACTCCCCGTGCCAGGAGTGTGTCCCCTTTAAGCTTGGGGTCTGGTGGCAACAGAATAATGGTGATCTATACGACAAGGAGATAGGCGGTGGTGCTGCTGTGTATCCCCTTTAAGCTTGAGGTCTGGTGGCAACAGAATAATGGTGATCTATACGACAAGGAGATAGACGGTGGTGCTGCTGTGTGTCCCCTTTAAGCTTGAGGTCTGGTGGCAACAGAATAATGGTGATCTATACGACAAGGAGATAGGCGGTGATGCTGCTGTGTGTCCACTTTAAGCTTGGGGTCTGGTGGCAACAGAATAATGGTGATCTATACGACAAGGAGATAGGCGGTGGTGCTGCTGTGTGTCCACTTTAAGCCAGGAGCCTGTAGAGCAGGAGAACAGCCATCATCAGGACATGATGACAGGCTGGGGATGCTGTTCCATTGTCGTCTAGTTGCAGATCACCCGTGAGGGCTGGTTAAATGCAAAACACAAAACAAGCGTATAGTCGACGAAACCAGGTAACTGACCCAACATTTCTCTAAGCCAATGTCAAAATAACTGCAATGGAAATTCTAAAATAACAGTTCTAAAACTTCTTAATATCAAATGGCACCAGTTCAGTATGTGCTTTATACATGTATATAGACATGCAATGTTTGGCAAGGAAACATTTAACAGTTTATTTGAACACACTCTATATTAAAACTTAAATCCAACGTGTTGTCATGGAAACATAAACAATAAAATTTCTAAAAGTGCTAAATATCAAAAGGCACCAGTTCAGCAAGAGTCTGATAGGCATGCAAAGTTTCGTAGAGAAAATATGAGTTATGCTCAGGAATCGATTTCGGGAAGAACGCACAGACGAACGCACGGACGGAACCCATTTTAGTATCCCCCGCCGACTTCGTTGGGGCGGGGATAATAACAGGTGAGCACTCGAACGAAAACATGAAACACTGTTTCCATTAGGTATGTTAATGCAATTTCTACCTGAAATTGAATTTGAAGCGACAATTTCAAGAACATGAATACATGACACTTTTTATGCATAGCAACTTCTTTTATTCTTTGTGCACAGAGTAATATATATTAGCAATAACCTAAGCACCGAGGGTTTCGGTATCTCACCATTTGCATCAGAAACATCCACGTTCGCAGTTGTCGTCGCCGCCGTTGTTGAGGTAGAAGTGTACAGTCCTAGAAACCAAACGAGGAACCAAATAGTTTCTAAAGTTTCGACTCAAGGATATCATACGAATGCTTTATTCGAATGTCTCAAAGTGGATCTTAGTTTCTTTTAGGGGCAGTGGGGTAGCCTGGTGGTTTAAGCCTTCGATCGTCACGACCAAGACCCCGTTTTGATTTCACAAATGGGTGAAATGGGTGAGCCCCATTTTTGAAATGCCTCGCCCTGATATTGCTGGAATAGTGCTAAAAGCGGCGTGTACAAGTCCATTTACTTCAGAACCTTTTGTTCCCCTGTAATGTAACGTGATATCTACAACGAACGCGGTAGAACATGGGTTCTTTTTGGACAACTGGAAACGTTAAAGCAAAATGTTGGAATGAAAAATATCGGACGTGTCGGACTAGCATTACTTTTTTCATCCACTTTAAAAATCATAGAAGTTGTGACACGATGAAATACATGCGTATGGATAAATTAAAGAAAGAAAGACCCAAACATTCAAGTGTTGAAATAAAATAAAGTCAATTTCTGATCAATATGACTACATTTGACAACTGATGATTTGTTAACGTTTTCTTTCTTAAATAATGAATATCCCAGGGACCTTATCCTCCTTCGCCCTTTGCGATGATGTGCTTTGTGAATCACTGTGACAGTGGAGTGATGCTTGTTGATCACTGTGACGGTGTGTAATCATGACGTCCACTATCTGACCACCACAACTACTGTACCTGGGAAGCTGACGTAACATTCGTCATGGCTGTTGAGCACGTTGCTGCAGCAGTCCATGGTGTAGATGGGGACGAGCACATCACTCAGGTAGCGGTTCACACACATTTTTTCATAACAGCCACCTGCCTGAATCTCGTTTTCTGTGCAGGGATCTGAATTAATCATAAACGGTACGTATATTTAAGAATCAATGGTTCTATAAATTGAAGCATTGATAAGAGTAACTCATATAGACACACAGTGCATGTTTATAAAAGCGGGAAAAGAAACATTTCCACTATCCTAGGAAATACCTGCAAAAAAATCCTTGTACGTGATTTTCTAGATCTAAAGTTAAAATTTAGGAAACAGCATCAATAAATGATGACCCCAGGTGGCGCCGTCACAACAACCGTCCCCGGCTGGGGTGAAAAAAACCCTACTAATAACATTCTTCGCTTGACGGTATAACAGAGTAAGTGTACCCAACACCAGTAATAACATTCTTCACTTGACGGTATAGCACTGTAACTGTACCCAACACCAGTAATAACATTCTTCACTTGAGGGTATAGAACTGTTACTGTACTCAACACCAGTAATAACATTCTTCACTTGACGGTATAGAACTGTAACTGTACTCAACACCAGTAATAACATTCTTCACTTGACGGTATAGCACTGTAACTGTACTCAACACCAGTAATAACATTCTTCACTTGACGGTATAGCACTGTAACTGTACCCAACACCAGTAATAACATTCTTCACTTGACGGTATAGAACTGTTACTGTACTCAACACCAGTAATAACATTCTTCACTTGACGGTATAGAACTGTAACTGTACTCAACACCAGTAATAACATTCTTCACTTGACGGTATAGCACTGTAACTGTACTCAACACCAGTAATAACATTCTTCACTTGACAGTATAGCACTGTAACTGTACTCAACACTAGTAATAACATTCTTCACTTCACGGCATAGCACTGTAACTGTACTCAACACCAGTAATAACATTCTTCACTTCACGGTATAGCAATGTAACTGTACCCAACACCAGTAATAACATTCTTCACTTGACGGTATAACACTGTGACTGTACCCAACACAAGTAATAACATTCTTCACTTGACGGTATAGCAATGTAACTGTACCCAACACCAATAATAACATTCTTCACTTGACGGTATAGCAATGTTACTGTACCCAACACCAGTTATAACATTCTTCACTTGACGGTATAACACTGTAACTGTACCCAACACAAGTAATAACATTCTTCACTTGACGGTACAGGAATGTAACTGACATTTATGTTTATCGTATATTAAATCTATTTCAATACAGTAAAGTGAAAAGAATAATAATGGTAGATGTTGCTATTTCCAGTCGTGTAAGAGATTCAGCAAGAACGAGGGCGTTATGATTACAGCAGAATATGCTTACACATCTGTCCCGAAGAAGGATCTGAAACAGGAAATTTGTCTAAGTAATTGAGATGACAGATAATTTAACAATATAGGTAAACAAAGTTACCGGCAGTAGATATCATAATGTTTGGAATATATATTCTCTTATTCCTAATATATGATACATACTACATGGAAAGAAATGAGGTCGATATTCTCTTTATCTTTATCTTTCTCTTTTTATATTAAAAAACACCGAATGATACTGAGGCGTTCTTTCACTCAGTGAAGCAGCTTTACAATCCGCTCATAAATACAGTGTTCCAGTGAGTGAGTGAGTATTGTTTTACGCCGCTTTTAGTAATATTCCAGCAATATCACGGCGGGGGACACCAGAAATGGGCTTCACACATTGTACCCATGTCGGGAATCGAACCCGGGTCTTAGGCGTGACGAGCGAACGCTTTAACCACTAGGCTACCCGACCGACCCTACAGTGTTCGTGCGTATATAGTGTCATTTATCATACTGTGCCAAATTATGCACAGTCATACTTATCTATAGAAACGTCCACACATTGGGGAACCCCTATCAAAACTTATTGGGAACGTCAGACAAGAGTTTATTGATCAAACAGACATCGACGTGTGGAGCTTAAAAGTAGTTCCTGCAAGGTGACCCCTTTTGCTTTTTTGTTTGTTTGTTGTTTAACACCTCGATCAGTAATGTTCCAGCTAAATGACGGCGATCAGTGAATAATCGAGTCTTGACCAAATACTCCAGTGATTGACATCATGAGCATCGATCTGAGCAATTGGGATACGCCGACATGCATCAACCAATTCAGCGAGCCTGACCACCCAATCCTGTTAGTCGCCTCTTACGATAAGCATAGTTGCCTCTTTACCACTAGCTTGGGTTGCTGAAGACATATTCTACCCCGGATCTTCACGGGGGACCCCTTTTGCATATTTATCATATTTATCGGACCGTGACACCAAGTTCATCTTTTGACTATGCTTAAACTGTTTAATTGAGAAAATCTCACGGTTTTGCTTTATCACATAGTATCAACGTTAGTACTTGCTGAAACATCAGTAAAAATATCACGATGAAAACAGTTGGCGAAGTCGTACCTCTCGTGAAATCTGCTGGAGTTGGGGATGGTGTAACTGCCGTCGTGTACACAACTGTAACATGAGGAACAACCAGTAATGTAAGGAATAGTATTGAATTATTAAGCCACAAATGCACACGTGTTTGTGGAATGTGTCATAAAATCAATTTCACATATGGAAACTGGCGTTTCTATTCTAGTTTTGCCTACTAAATGTACAATCATTCAGCGGTAATGTTTAATGCATTCTTGACGTGTCGCGGAAATACTCAAAGCAATAGAAATTTTGAGAGAAAAGAATCAAGTGAGTTCTCCGCTTGATATGGCTCCGTTTGCTTTGCTACAACTTGACAACCACCTCCAGCCCATAGGGGGCTTAAACATATCAGTCAGTGAGTATGGTTTTACTCCGCTTTTAGCAATATTCCAGCAATATCACGGCGGAAATTGGCTTCACACATCGCACCCATTTAGGGAATGAATCCGGGCCTTCGGCGGGACTATCGGACGCTTTAACCACTAGGCTACCCCACCGCTTCTAAACAGCTGAGAGATATCTTATCAAGTACTTCTTCTGTAGAGCAGAGAGACAATCTTTTTTACACACTAATAATTCATTGGATTGGTCAAGGTCATCCTCATGGTCGTAAAGTGAAAGTACCTTACACGGATTGGTTCCTGTGAAATTAAAGTATTGAGTGACCTTCATTTACGTAGAGTGAGTGAGTGGGTAGAGTTTTACACCCGTTAACCAAAATTGCAACTATTTTCCCGGTAGGATCACCAGTAAATTGGCTTCACTTTCAGTATCCTTGTAGAGGCCCTTACGGAGATTGGTCTACCCCTCGAGTGATTGAGTGACTATGGTTTTAAGCCGCTTGTATCAATATTCCAGCAATATCAAAGCGAGGCAAATGGACTTTATACTTTATCCCCATGTTGGAATCCTTATCAAGATAGTTCTACACCTTGAGTGAGTGAGTGAGTGACTATGTTTTTACCACATTGTTTTTTATATATTGTACCTATGCGGGACCCGATATAGAGGAAAAGGTCTCACCTGTGGTAGTCGAAGGGAACATCTCTAAAATGAGAAGAAAACACTTTTGTAAATCTTCCCATAACAATAAATGTCATTGCGTAGGTGATAAAAAATAAACTAAACATCAAATGTTGCCTAAGATTAAATAATTTAAACAATTTAATTAAAACGAACATGTGTGTTGTCCTTTAACGCCGGACTAAGTAAAATGACAGTGGTCTGTGAATAATCGAGTCTGGACCAGACAATCCACTGATTCACATAACACCATGAGCATCGATCCACGCAATTGGGATACGGATGACATGCATCAACCAAGTCAGCGAGCCTGACCTTCCGATCCCGTTAGTCGCCTCTTACGACAAGCATAGTCACTATTCTGACAAGCGTTGGTGGCTGAAGGCGACTTCCATCTTCGCGGGAGAATAAGAAAAATAACATAATGGCGACTTCAAATGATTATATCAAAAACCATTCATTTTGGATGAGACAGGCTATTAACTCAGTCATTGCTTCCAAACACGCAATTTTCTTCTATGAAAGGAGCAGACCAATTTTCAAAAAAACATTTTCCTTAGGTCATCTGGCATGTCAAGCAAACATTTCTTCTTCCACTTTTCAAAAAAATATACTTTGGGTCAAATGGTCGTTCCCAATCTACGCGAGGGCTCATTTGTTTCGACAAAGAATTACCTTCACAAGTTGTATCACTGTAACCGTTCGTGAAGCCTTGGTATGCGATGTTCTCGGGTCGGCAACAATACTCAGAAATCACGGGATAAAAGAGACTCATTAGTCGTCCTCCAACACATTTCCGGTATGTACAGGAATCTCCGATTTCATCAGTTGTACAGGCTGTTGTCAACAAGATGGAAAATATTAAAACCACAGTACTGTTCCTGATGTACATGTAGGTTTTATGAATGTGATTACAAGAACTGATCTCGCCAATAGGTTTTGGGCAGTTTACTGCTGACATTTATGGTGAATAGCGTTTTGTTTTATTTTGAAGAATAAGATATCAATAGCTATTACCACAATACCAAGAACAAAAACTACATAGAGAGGAATAATACATATTATATCATGTCATATTGATATGACAGTGATAAATTATTTTGAAGTATATATTCAAATACAAATAGTCACGAAACGTTCAGGTAGAATAAAATATAGTGCTAGTATGCAAAAATAATATATTTAATAATTTACTATGTATGAAATTGTAGTACAATCGTTCTAACTGTACGAGCATATGAATAGAATTCAAACGCCAGCAAAATCATTACAACTAAAGAATCACGAAGTGCCCCATTTGGACTAACGGGTGATACCATACACCTTTATATCGGAATCGGCTAACACCAGTGTCGCTGTCCTAATATTAATAAGTAATAAACACTTTTCATTCACCAACTGAAATAGGTTAATTGCATATGATTTAAATTCAGCTTTATTAATATCAGAATGCTGAGTCCTTGTGAATAAGAGGATATTACATTGAAGCGAAACGTGACCACGATTCAAATACATCATTGTTATAAAAGTCACGATTCTGGCGGTACGAAGAACGCCAATGTACGACGACATACATTGACACACATCGAGGCTACTGTGGTAACCCTGGCCTGTTGACTTGCTAATACCTACAAGTGTCATATTTGATCTACGTCATTTCCCGCAAAGGGCATGACTGTTGAGAAACACTGACAAAGACGGTGAATGAAAGCATAAGACGCTAATATATGGAATCCCTGGGGTGTGAGTGCAGGTTCTATCATACTGGGAAGCGCTTGGGCCTTTAATAACACATCACTGGTGTATATCTCCGTGTGGCTTTGCGTAGCTACCATCTGTTGACATCCATGAATGGAACTGAATGAATTAAATGCAATAAGCAGGACGAGTGGTTTCTGAAAGGCAGGTGTGTTCTATTCAACGCACATACTGTAGTTTTAGGACACAGAAAGACGGGTCGTCCCTCAAAGCTGTCTTAGCGCTCAGACAATTTAACTCCCATATGAGAATCATAGCGTTTCATTTTTTTGGTTTGGAACGTGACCAAAGTGCGTAACCCAACGCTATGAACTTTGGTAAAATATATCTTTTCTTTTAAATGAACAATAATTTGATATCCAACAAATCTAACATATATGGTTACTGTTAAAAGAATGAAACAGAAAAATAGAAGGCCCCAATTTAACACTGTAGTTTTCACTTTCACATCATCGTCCATGGGCGTAGTGAATACCCACCAGTAAAGTATTGACGATGATATAATATTTCGACATTGTATCATATTTCAATTAAATCTATGAACATCTATAACATTCAAAAGAATGAACTATGTCAGTGCAACAAATTAACCAAAACGTAGCGGAATACATATGTTTCCTTGAGTGTCGGCTGAGGCACATTGTGCACGTAACCCTGAACCCTACAAATGTGAATAGAGAACGCTAACCAACCAATATGTAGCGGAACACTTGTCTTTCCTGAGTATCTGAGTGAGAGAGCACGTTACCCTGAACCCTACAAATGTGAATATGGAACGCTTACCAACCAATATGTAGCGGAATACTTGTCTTTCCTGAGTTTCTGAGTGAGTGAGCACGTAACCCTGAACCCTACAAATGTGAATAGGGAACGCTAACCAACCAATATGTAGCGGAACACTTGTCTTTCCTGAGTTTCTGAGTGAGAGAGCACGTAACCCTGAACCCTACAAATGTGAATAGAGAATGCTAACGCAAGAATATAATGAGTCTCAATTATCTGCCGAAACAGATTCCATGGAGAGTAAAAGTCAGAGTAGAGGTGACTACATGAATCAACGAAATTAAACTTACGTGGAAAGTGTAACTCTGAAAAATAATGTTATGATGAGTTCACAAAATGTCTCGAACAATTAAATTGCATTCAGGCAGAATACACTTACAAGGGCTGGTCAAAAGGTTCTTAGCTTGACTAACTTTCAACTATGGTTCATAACAAATTGAACTAGTCAGTGTAGTACATTGTGTGAGTAGCTCATTGCAAGTGTATTTGGTCTGTTGAGGCCGTCTGTATATAAGTGACAACGTGATAGGGGTCCAAATGGACACAGAAATGGAAAGGAACGAGAACCGACCAGTCATCAAGTCTTGAGAAAAGTACTCCCAAACAAATTCATGACCGCATGTCACAAGTGTATGGGGATATGTGCCCTAGCTATTCCACTGTTAAACGTTGGGCAGCTATGTTTACGGCTGGGAGAACAAGCCTTGATGATGACCCTCGGTCTGGGCGTCCCTCAACTTCCATCAATAAAGATTCCATCAAAGAGATAGAAAGACTTATACTGTCAGATAGACGCTGAACTTGAGGAAGACACAGGTCTGACCCATTGGTCCATTGAAACTGCTATTCATGAACATTTACAGATGAATAGGATATCTTCTCGTTGGGTGCCAAGGAGAAAATGTAGAGCTAATTGAGGATTTCCTCAAGTTCAAAAAGAGATTAGCAACGGGTGACCAAACATGGGTCTACCACTAGGATCCCGAGTCAAAACGTCAATCTGTGGAATGGCAATATTCCACTTCTCCGACACCAAAGAAATTCAAGTCTTCAAGATCAGTGGAGAAAGTTGAAAGCCACTATATTCTTGGATGCAAAGGGTGTGATCTTTGTTGATTACTTAGCAAGTCAAAAGACGATTACCGGTGCCTACTATGCTCATTTGCTTCATCGCCCGAGAGATTCTATCAAAGAAAAACGGCGAGGAATGCTGCCTGCTGGAGTTCTACCAATCAATTTATAATAACAATGCCTCTTCTCACACCTCCCGACTTGCAAAGGCTGCTGTGTTATAATGTGGGTTCGAAGCGCTTCCTCACCCTCCATACTCACCAGATCTGGCAAAAAGTTATTTCCACCTGTTTCCTAAACTGAAAGAACACCCTATGACGACAACAATGACCTCAAAGCTGCAGTGAATCGGTTTTTCGGTGGCTTCCGAAAACTTCAACCTGACTGCAATTGAAAAGCTTCTCTATCGATATGAGAAGTGTATTGAAATGCAGGGAGATTATGTTAAAAAATAGAATTAAAAACACTTTCAAGATTGTTGGTTTGTTTGTTAGGCTTTGAACTTTTTGACCAGCTCTAGTATTGTCTTTCAGTGCGACATTTCAGTACCGGCGCCAGTACCTGTACTGGGTTCACTTGATGTATGAATTTTCTAGCACCTGTATCGAACCTCTGCATGAAACCGCTTTGATAACCTTCCTCTTTAGACTAATACATGTGATAGATTTATTTCATACAGTTCAGCACATGCTATTGTTTTGAAACAAACTCTAAACTAAAAAGAATTCTGTTAGTTTGCTAGTACTACTACTGGGATTATCTGAAAGTATACATTCTTTAATGAAACAGCAGTGTCTGGTAGATTCGTAGAAAACATTATGTTGGACACAGTGGGATGTATTTTTATATCAATACAGTTTCAGGCACATTTCAACATGGCATTTGGTGTTATAATGTAACTGGATATATTTTGTTAAGAACACGTCAGCAGTAATTTTGGCAAATCACATGAATAAAAAAAATAAATAACGGATTGTGAAATTCAAATTTGGCCGAAGATCAATATTTGAGAACGCCTCGACAAATCAAATAGAAACAGTTACTTCCAATTTAAGTGTGCTTTTAATAGATACCTGTATGGCCGATTATTTCTTCAGCATAAAATTAGGTTTATCAACTTTCTCCCATGATAAAGGTCAGTAATTTCAGCGCTGTGTTAAAGGTTATTCAGAAAATGTCTTGTACCATTTGAAGTACAAATAAAGTTCCCGAATAGTGATAATAATATATTGTTCTGGGTTCATATCAATACCACCCTATAGCTCTGAGTAATCTGTAACTGCCCGGTAGTCTTCTTTGAATGAGTGAGTGAGTATTGTTTTACGTCGCTTTTAGCAATATTTCATCAATATCACAGTGGAACCCACCAGAAATGGGCTTCTCACATTGTAAACATGTGGAGAATCGGACCCGGGTCGATCGACCACATTAACCACAAGGCTACCCCACTGCCCCCTTTATTTATATGAACATTGTAGGGGGCTATAAACATCAAATACTATTTACTGAATATGATCGTTTGACGCAATAGTGGCGTATATTACCATTACAAAGTGCCTGTTTGAAATTTGTGATTGATCAAAGTGAGTACGTCACAGTTATAGCAGGGTGATGTGAGTGTTCTAATTATAGGAGTGTTATTACAGAGTAATAGCAGGGTAATAGCAGAGTTATAGCAGGGTGATGTGACGGTTCTAATTATAGGAGTGTTATTACAGAGTAATAGCAGGATAATAGCAGAGTTATAGCAGGGTAATAGCATGGTTATAGCAGGGTGATGTGAGTGTTCTAATTATAGGATTGTTATTACAGAGTAATAGCAGGGTAATAGCAGAGTTATAGCAGGGTAATATCAGAGTTATACCAGGGTAATAGCATGGTTATAGCAGGGTGATGTGAGGGCTCTAATTATAGGAGTGTTATTACAGAGTAATAGCAGGGTAATAGCAGAGTTATAGCAGGGTAATATCAGAGTTATAGCAGGGTAATAGCAAGGTTATATTAGGGTGATGTGAGGGTTCTAATTATGAGAGTGTTATTACAGAGTAACAGCAGGGTGATAGCATGGTTATAGCACTCACTTAGCCGGACGCTGACAAACATTGAATGTACCAACCTGGAAATGTGTTGTAGCAATCCTGGGACCAGGGAGAGTTGTCCATCACAAACTCTTCACAGCATGTGAAGGTCAAAGACGGCTGGGTCGCCCAACTCCCGCTCACACAGTAGAGATCCCAGCAATGACTGTAACCCTGTTGTAGCAGCCCGTTACCAGAACACATTGCTGAAATAGTATAGCAACTTTTAACATAATTCCTGGACAAGCGTAAATCCATTTAACGTAATTTTCATGTTATCAGTATTGCGGCCATGTTGAGAACTGGCTTGGAATTGTGTGAGCACGGTTAGAGGCAAGATTTTTGGGGTCATAAGTATAAACGTCCGGCTTCATAAACCTAGACATTTCAATGGTGGGAAACTAGATGCATTATTTTATTATTCGTTATGCGCACACCATATCCTATATTCCTAATGAAAAAGTTGTGAAAAGAGAACTTGTCCAATTGTTGTTGTGTAACCTTTGATAACGTAACTGGGTATAAATACCTGATGTCGTTGAATACGTTGTCGTTGTCGTTGACGGTTCTACGGGACAGAAATATGAAAGCAATAAAAAAGGCAGAGTTTATCAATGGGAACATGATAAATCATTTTCACCTTTATGACAAGCATTTGTTTGGTTAGAAAGTGGTCTGTAACGTCGAAGTTAACTACACACATTCGCACGTCTGGTGGCTCTGCCAGATATGCCAGAGAGCTTAATTAGGAAATGTTCCTGAAAAACTGTTTACTGTTGACTGATGAATTGAGAACACATGATAACACTAATCCTTGTTTCACGGTAATACGTACAACTTTCACTTCAACCCACAAATGCTGTAACAGAAGTTTACAATGATAAACCTCACCTTGGAAAATACATATATATATTACTTTCTTAACATACTGGAAGTACCAAGTTTCATATCTGAACATTCTGTTTTACAATAACCTGTCCCTGAACGATGACAGCCACAGAAAAGGGTATTCAATATGCTAACGACCAAAAGAACATTTACCAAATTGAAAATGGAATGTCAAAAATATTATCAGCTATTACTGAATGCAGCTAATTGCAGAAATACAACCTGATCACATCAACGGTTTCTGGAGAGAAGATGTTGGCAAAGGGCACCGCTACCGACGGAACAGAACTGAACACAAGCCCCGGGAATTTCCACGGCAACTAAATGTCTTACCTGTCGTAGTAGGAGGGAACATCACTGAAATTAGATGAGGAAACCTTGATTTACTTATTTGACATCACTAAATGTAATCATGCATGTCTTAAAAAAATAATAATTAAAATCCCAGGCCGGCCATGGTATTATGAACGGTATATTGTAAATAGCTAAAACAAAACAATCACTCGACTGCTACTGTCAGCAATAAAAGCTGAAGTGCGACTGGTCCTTGGTACACCCCATCTTCTGTTCTTACACCGGCGATGTATCTTTCAAGGCACCAGTTCTACATGTCATTACAATCAACATTGTCTTAGTAATAAGGTTCATACCATCACATCCGCCCTCACTGTAGGCCATGTCGAGGCGATTTTCGGGTTGGCAACAATATTCCGAGATAACTGCCCACACCAAATCCATAAGGCGACCGCCCGAGCACTTGCGATACGCACAGCCATTCACCTCATCAGAAGTACATCCTAATAAGAACACATGTGTATTGAGCAGTAAAATGTATAGGCTATATATGTATAAGCAAAGTTAAATATCAAATGAGTTAATATAAATAGGTTTACTCAAAATTTTATTTTGTATATCTTTACAGATTTTAATACTTTAGTGCAGACTTCATCACAAGTGCTTGACCAAAATTACATTACAAGTATCTACTCCTAATTTTACATTTCATGTCTTGCTGTCTTAAAAAGTATTATTTTATATTCATAACAATTTATTATTCTAAAACTTAATTCTTTTGATAAAGTGTTATAAAATATTACATGTACACATAGCAACGTCATCGATTTACTGGCTGTGCACCAATCTGACAGTATATCTTGATTTCTTATATACATTATACACGATGGTTGACATGAACTTACGTGGATGGTATAGTTCTGAAAGGAAAGAAAGGTCATTTGTTTATAAACTTTTACACTTTGTTCATTGTCATACCAAGAAATTGTTTGACTATGTGGACATAACTTCTTTCAAATAAGCATTGTGAACAAGTGTAAACTATTAATTGTAAATGCGAGAATAACCAGCGTAGATTTTCCGCGAAAAAAGATTCCATTTGGCGTAAAGGGCAAATAGCTGTAGAAATTATATGAATGGACCACTGAAAATCAGTGATGACACCAGGTGTTCGCGAAAAGGGTATGCTTGCCCTGCATGTCCACAAGTTATGAATTGCCCTCAAATGTGTACAATGCGTGCGGAAACAAGTTATTTCACGTGTGCATTCAGCAGTATTACAGCTGTCTGTAGGTAGTGTGTGTGATTGTATGAGAATGGTGTGAAATCGTGTAGGCAGAGCGTGTAATGGTGTGAAAAAAGTGAGTCATATTGTAGACCAAGTGTGTTATGGTGTGAAAATAGTGTGAAATGTTGTAGGCAAAGTGTGTGATGGTGTGAAAATAGTGTGAAGTGTTGTAGGCAAAGTGTGTGATCTTGTGAAAATAGTTTGAAATGCTGTAGTAAAAGTGTGTGATGATGTGAAAATAGTATGAAATATTGTAGGTAGTGTGTGTGATGGTGTGAAAATAGTATGAAATGCTGTAGACAAAGTGTGTGACGGTGTATGAATAGAGTGAAATATTGCAGGTAGTGTGTGTGCTGGTGTGAGAATAGTGTGTGATGTTGCGAGAATAGTGTGAAATATTGTAGGCAGAGCATGTGATGGTGTGTGAAAAGAGTGAAATGTTGTAGGCGGTGCGTGTGATGGTGTGAGAATAGTGTGTCATGTTGTAGGCATAGTGTGTTATGATGTGAGAATAGTGTGAAATATTGTAGGCAGAGTTTGTGGTGGTGTGAGACTAGCGGGCCATGTTGTAGGTAGTGTGTGTGATGGTATTAGAATAGTGTGAAATATTGTAGGCGGAGTGTCATGTTGCTGGCAGAGTGTGTGATGGTGTTAGAAGGGTGTGAAATTTTGTAGGCAGAGTGCGTGATGGTGTGAGGCTATTGTGTTGTAGGCATTTACATTTCTCGTTTGTACTGGATTCCAAAGCTCAAAATAAAATCCGTACACAATGAGATATAATGCTGGGTCAAGCAAATGTACCACCAAATCCCCATTCCGACGGTTAACCATAATCCTTAATACAATCTAGGAATGACTTTCTTTATATTCACAGAACGTACCTGCGACAAGTGGGATTAAAACCATGTCATTTCTAATAAATTCAAATGTGTTTCTTGACGTTTTACAATCTCAGAAAAGAACCATGTTCAATTCTGTAAAAGTATTTGATTTTTTCAACTTTGTACACCATTATCCCACATGACAACTTATGGAAAACTTCATTCCTTGATCCATGGAGCTTCTGTTACAAAACGTAATGACTATAGCTACAGTTACATATATATCTTCACAGCTTCGGGTCAGTTGTCAAAAATGAGGCAAATGGCATCTGAACTTTACCGAGAATACAAAATGCGAAATGCTGGACTTCCTCATCGATAACATCTATGTCAAATTTGGGGTAGGATATTTTGGCAAAAAGTAGAAATCCCAATTTGCAGTATTGTGTGTGACTGTGTGGAGGGTGTTATTGTGTGGACATGGTGTGTGACTGTGTGGGCGGTGTTATTGTGTAGATATGGTGTGTGACTGTGTGGACGGTGTTATTGTGTGGATATGGTGTGTGACTGTGTGGATGGGGTTATTGTGTAGATATGGTGTGTGACTGTGTTGACGGTGTTATTGTGTAGACATGGTGTGTAACTGTGAGGACGGTGTTATTGTGTGGACCTGGTGTGTGACTGTGTTCACGGTTTTATTGTGTAGATATGGTGTGTGACTGTGTGGACGGTGTTATTGTGTAGACATGGTGTGTAACTGTGAGGACGGTGTTATTGTGTGGACCTGGTGTGTGACTGTGTTCACGGTTTTATTGTGTAGACATGGTGTGTGACTGTGTGGACGGTGTTATTGTGTGGATATGGTGTGTGACTGTGTGGACGGTGTTATTGTATATATATGGTGTGTGGATGGGGTTATTGTGTAGATATGGTGTGTGACTGTGTTGACGGTGTTATTGTGTAGACATGGTGTGCAACTGTGAGGACGGTGTTATTGTGTGGACCTGGTGTGTGACTGTGTTCACGGTGTTATTGTGTAGATATGGTGTGTGGCTGTGTGGACGGTGTTATTGTGTAGATATGGTGTGTGACTGTGTGGACAGTGTTATTGTGTAGATATGGCGTGTGACTGTGTGGACGGTGTTATTGTGTAGATATTGTATGTGACTGTGTTCACGGTGTTATTGTGTAGATATGGTGTGTGACTGTGTGGACGGTGTTATTGTGTAGATATGGTGCGTGACTGTGTGGAGACTAGTGTTATTGTGTGGATATTGTATGTGACTGTGTGGACGGTGTTATTGTGTGGACATGGTGCGTGACTGTGTGGATGGTGTTATTGTGTGGATATTGTATGTGACTGTGTGGACGGTGTTATTGTGTGGACATGGTGTGTGACTGTGTGGATGGTGTTATTGTGTGGATATTGTATGTGACTGTGTGGACGGTGTTATTGTGTGGACCTGGTGTGTGACTGTGTTCACGGTGTTATTGTGTAGATATGGTGTGTGACTGTGTGGACGGTGTTATTGTGTAGATATGGTGTGTGACTGTGTGGACGGTGTTATTGTGTAGATATGGTGTGTGACTGTGTGGACGGTGTTATTGTGTAGATATTGCGTGTGACTGTGTGGACGGTGTTATTGTGTGGATATTGTATGTGACTGTGTGGACGGTGTTATTGTGTAGACATGGTGTGTGACTGTGTGGACGGTGTTATTGGTTGGATATGGTGTGTGACTGTGTGGACGGTGTTATTGTGTGGATATGGTGTGTGACTGTGTGGACGGTGTTATTGTATATATATGGTGTGTGGATGGGGTTATTGTGTAGATATGGTGTGTGACTGTGTTGACGGTGTTATTGTGTAGACATGGTGTGCAACTGTGAGGACGGTGTTATTGTGTGGACCTGGTGTGTGACTGTGTTCACGGTGTTATTGTGTAGATATGGTGTGTGGCTGTGTGGACGGTGTTATTGTGTAGATATGGTGTGTGACTGTGTGGACAGTGTTATTGTGTAGATATGGCGTGTGACTGTGTGGACGGTGTTATTGTGTAGATATTGTATGTGACTGTGTTCACGGTGTTATTGTGTAGATATGGTGTGTGACTGTGTGGACGGTGTTATTGTGTAGATATGGTGCGTGACTGTGTGGAGACTAGTGTTATTGTGTGGATATTGTATGTGACTGTGTGGACGGTGTTATTGTGTGGACATGGTGCGTGACTGTGTGGATGGTGTTATTGTGTGGATATTGTATGTGACTGTGTGGACGGTGTTATTGTGTGGACATGGTGTGTGACTGTGTGGATGGTGTTATTGTGTGGATATTGTATGTGACTGTGTGGACGGTGTTATTGTGTGGACCTGGTGTGTGACTGTGTTCACGGTGTTATTGTGTAGATATGGTGTGTGACTGTGTGGACGGTGTTATTGTGTAGATATGGTGTGTGACTGTGTGGACGGTGTTATTGTGTAGATATGGTGTGTGACTGTGTGGACGGTGTTATTGTGTAGATATTGCGTGTGACTGTGTGGACGGTGTTATTGTGTGGATATTGTATGTGACTGTGTGGACGGTGTTATTGTGTAGACATGGTGTGTGACTGTGTGGACGGTGTTATTGGTTGGATATGGTGTGTGCCTGTGTTGACAGTGTTATTGTGTAGATATGGTGTGTGACTGTGTGGACGGTGTTATTGGTTGGATATGGTGTGTGCTTGTGTTGACAGTGTTATTGTTCGGGAATAGTGTGGACATTGTCTATTAAGACATGGTATCAACATTTCATAACTACCTGGAAATGTGTTGTAGCAATCCTGGGACCAGGGAGAGGTGTGCATCACAAACTCTTCACAGCATGTGAGGGTCAAAGACGGCTGGGTCGCCCAACTCCCACTCACACAGTAAAGATCCCAGCAATGACTGTAACCCTGTTGTAGCAACCCGTTACCAGAACACATAGCTGAAATGGGAACGTTTAATATAATTCCTGGACTAGAGTAAATCCATTTAACATACGTTTGATGTTATTGATATTGATATGGATGTCAGTGCTGCTATGTTAACTAGCTTGGAATTATGTGAGCACGTTCAGAGGCATCATTGCTGGGATCAATAACACGGCTTCATCAACCTCTTGATTTCAATTATGGAAAACTACGACATATTTTAGTATTCGTTATGCACACCATATCCTGTATTGAAATGCAAAAATTACGATGTTTAACGAGAGCTTTCCAATTGTACTAAATATACTCTTTGATGTAGGAGCAGTTATCTGAGCTTGTGGGTTTCACTAAATGAGTAAATGTGTATGACCTATATGTCACTTTAAGGTTTTCTCCAAGTAATAGGCCATGATATAACTGAATACTGTTCGAAGCGGCGTTGAACCCAATTTCGTTACTCGTTTCACGAAAGGACAGAGTTGAAGAATAACTAATAGTATGGAACTCCTAGATGAGACATTTTCGCCCTTCCACAAAAGCAGAAAATATCATGAATAACCAAAGCCCGACAGCGAAAATACGCGACACCGAGACTTTCTATATATTTGTCGCATTGTCGCGGTTTGAATAATGTTAAGGGGTTTTTTTTCAAAAAGATGATAATGCGACAACGTGACATTTCAAGGTCAAAATATGTTGCGTTGTCGCTCCATCTAAAATGTGTAAAAGTGGCATTAATATACGCATCAATGAGAAAATGTCCTTTCTAAGATTCCGTGTTTATTTGTTTGTTTTATTGTTTAATGCCGCACTCTGCAATATTTCAGCTATATGACGGCGGTCTGTAAATAATCGAGTCTGGACCAGACAATCCAGTGATTTATATCATGAGCATCGACCCACGCAATTGAGATACGGTGACATGCATAAACCTGACCACCCGATCCCGTTAGTCGTCTCTTACGACAAGCATAGTCGCCTTTTACGGCAAGCATGGGTTCCTGAAGATCTATTCTATCCCGGATCTTCACGTGTCTAGGATTCCATGACACATTCTACATGTATTTATGAAGAGATGTTTACTGTGACCATAAGTAGTTATATAACATTTGATAACGTAACTTGGTTTAAATACCTGATGTTGGATATGTTGCCGTTGTCGTCGTCGTTGTCGTTGACGGTTCTACAGGACAAAAATATGAAAACAATATAAAGACAGACAATTTATCAATTGGAACCTGATAAAACATTTTCACCTTCATGAAAAGCATGTTTTTGTTAGAAAGTGTCCTGTACCGTCAAAGTCCACCTATACAAATTCGCACGTCTAGTGGCGCTGCCAGATATGCCAGAGAGTATAATTAGGAAATGTTCCTGTGAAACCAAAAACATCTATATACATCGTTTGCTGATGATCGATGAATTCAGAACCCACGATAAAACACATCCCTGTTTCACAGTGAAGAAAACATATTGGAAATACCAAGTTTCATATCTGAACAGTCTGTTTAACAAATAACCTGGCCCTGAACGATGACAGCCACAGAAAAGGATATTCAATATGCTTACGACCAAAAGAGCATTTACCAAATTGAAAATCGAATGTCAAAAATATTATTAGCTATTATGGAATGCAGCTAATTGCAGAAACATAACCTCATCATATCAACGGTTTCCGGATAGATGTTGGCAAAGGGCACCGCTACCGACGGAAGATGGTAGAGCAGAACTGAACACAAGCTATTGATTTTCCCGGGACTTTTCACGGCAACTAAATGTCTTACCTGTCGTAGTAGGAGGGAACATCACTGAAATTAGAAGAGGAAACCTTTATTTACTTATTTGACATCACTAAATGTAATCATGTCTTCCAAACAAATAATAATTAAAATCCCAAGGTTGCCTTGGTATTATGAACGGTATATTGTGAATAGTTAAAACAAAACAATCACTCGACTGCTACTATGAGCAATAAAAGCTGAAGTGCGACTGGTCCTTGGTACACCCCATCTTCTGTTCTTACACCGGCGATGAATCTTTCAAGGCACCAGTTCTACATGTCATTACAATCAACATTGTCTTAGTAATAAGGTTCATACCATCACATCCGCCCTCACTGTAGGCCATGTCGAGGCGATTTTCGGGTTGGCAACAATATTCCGAGATAACTGCCCACACCAAATCCATAAGGCGACCGCCCGAGCACTTGCGATACGCACAGCCATTCACCTCATCAGAAGTACATCCTAATAATAACACATGTGTATTGAGCAGTAAAATGTATAGGCTATATATGTATAAGCAAAGTTAAATATCAAATGAGTTAATATAAATAGGTTTACTCAAAATTTTATTTTGTATATCTTTACAGAATTACATTACAAGTATCTACTCATAATTTTACGTTTCATGTCTTGCTGTCTTAAAAAGTATTATTTTATATTCATAACTATTTATTATTCTAAAACTTAATTCTTTTGATAAAGTGTTATAAAATATTACATGTACACATAGCAACGTCATCGATTTACTGGCTGTGCACCAATCTGACAGTATATCTTTATTTCTTATATACATTATACACGATGGTTGACATGAACTTACGTGGATGGTATAGTTCTGAAAGGAAAGAAAGGTCATTTGTTTATAAACTTTTACACTTTGTTCATTGTCATACCAAGAAATTGTTTGACTATGTGGACATAACTTCTTTCAAATAAACATTGTGAACAAGCGTAAACTATCAATTGTTAATGGGAAAATAACCAGCCTAGATTTTCTGCCAAAACAGATTCCACTTGGCGTAAAGGGCAAATAGCTGTAGAAATTATATGAATGGACCCCTGAAAATCAGTGATGACACTAGGTGTTCGCGAAAAGGGTAGGCTTGCTCTGCATGTCCACAAGTTATGAATTGCCTTCAAATGGGTACAATTCGTGCGTAAATAAGTTATTTCGCGTGTGTTATTTCGTTATTTCAGCAGTATTACACCTGTCTGTAGGTAGTGTGTGTGATACTATGAGAATGGTGTGAAATCCTATAGGCAGAGTGTGTGATGGTTTGAAAAAAGTGAGTCATGTTGTAGGCAAAGTGAGTGATGGTGTGAAAATAGTGTGAAATATTGTAGGCAGAGTGTGTGATGGTGTGAGAATAGTGTGAAATATTATAGGTAGTGTGTGTGATGGCGTGAGAATAGTGTGGTATGTTGTGAGAATTAGTGTGAAATCTTGCAGGCAGAGTGTGTGATGGTGTGAACATAGAGTGCAATGTTGTAGGTAGTGTGTGTGATGGTATGAGAATATGTGAAATCTTGTAGGCGGAGTGTGTGATGGTGTTAGAAGAGTGTGAAATATTGTAGGCAGAGTGTGTGATGGTGTGAGGCTTCTGTGTTGTAGGCATTTACATTCCTCTTTTGTACTGGATTCCAAAGCTCAATATAAAATCCGTACATAATGAGATATAATGCTGGGTCAAGCAAATGTACCACCAAATCCCCATTCTGACGGTTAACCATAATCCTTAATACAATCAAGGAATGACTTTCTTTATATTCAGAGAACGTACCTGAGACAAGTGGGATTAAAACCATGTGATTTCTAATAAACTCAAATGTGTTTCTTGACGTTTTACAATCTCAGATAAGAACCATGTTCAATTCTGTAAAAGTATTTGATTTTTCAACTTTGTACACCATTATCCCACATGACAACTTATGGAAAACTTCATTCCTTTATCCATGGAGCTTTTGTTACAAAATATAATGACTATAGATACAGTAACATATATATCTTCACAGCTTCGGGTCAGTTGTCAAAAATGAGGCAAATGCCATCTGAACTTTACTGAACCATCAACTAGTCAATTTCCTGCCGCTGATTTACCCACCTCAACTAGAAATAAAGGAGATCAGAGAGACCGCCTCATCTCTTTCATAATTAGGTTTATACATAAAGACTGTATAGGAAGAGGGATGACTTCAACTTTTTCCTTCTGTTCAGCAATATTCCTGCAGCTCAAGCCATTCACAGCCTTTGAGGTACAATAGAGCATGTTCGATTGTATGGTAGACATGCGGTGGTAATTTCCAAATTTGACGCATCAGTGACAAGAATTATGTCCGATGCATTTTCCTACTTTGACTTGTACCATGTTCCCGTGGTTTTTCAGGTGAACAATTGACTTGCCCTTGGATGTGTTTATGACGGGTGCCACCGGTGAGGCAGACTACACTCACCTTTTCGCGAACATCGTGTGTGAGTGTGTGGATATGGTTTGTGTTAGTTTGGACATGATGTTTGATTGTGTGTACATCGTGTGTGTGATTGTGGAGACATGCTGTTTTATTGTGATGGCATTGTGTGAATGTGTGGATATGGTTTGTGTTGGTTTGGACATGATGTTTGATTGTGTGGACATCGTGTGAGTGTGTGTATGTGGGTGCGTGGGTGCGTGCGTGCGTGCGTGCGTGCGTGTGTGTGGGGGGGACATGATGTGATCGTGTGGATATGGTTTGTGTAAGTGTTGACACGATGTTTGATTGTGTGGACATCGTGTGTGTGATTGTGGAGACATGGTGTTTTATTGTGATGGCATTGTGTGAATGTGTGGATATGGTTTGTGACAGTGTGAACATAGTGTGTAGATATGGTGAGGTGAGGTGAAATTGGGTTTAACGTCGCGTCCAAGATTATTGCACTTATATAGCGACGTGCATGCACGTGTATGTGTGTGTGTGGCTGCTTGTACTAGTCCGGACTGATGCCGATTTATAGTGCTAGCTCACTGAGATACCATGCCGCAGTTTAACATGAATACCCCACTCAGACACAGTATACTGACTCCGAGCCGACCAGTCCTTGTTTTAGCCCCTTAATGCCGAGCGCCAGACAGGGTAACAACAAGTACAATCTTTTAACGTCTTTTTGTATGACGCGGCCCGGGATCGAACCCTGGACCTTCCGCTCTCCGGGCGGACGCTCTACCACAAGACCACGGAGGAGGTCTGTGTAGATATGGTAACAACATTTCATAACTACCTGGAAACGTGTTGTAGCAATCCTGGGACCAGGGAGAGTTCTGCATCACAAACTCTTCACAGCATGTGAGGGTCAAAGATGGTTGGGTTGCCAAATTCCCACTCACACAGTAGAGATCCCAGCAATGACTGTAACCCTGTTGTAGCAGCCCGTTACCAGAACACATTGCTGAAATAGTACAGGATGTTTTACAAATAATTCCTTGACTATAAGAAACCTTTGAACCCAATTAACTACTTGTTTCATGAAAGGAAAGAGTTGAATGATTGATGGCATATCATGGAGGAAATACAGTGAGCGAAAATTATTTACTTAGGCCGTCGTCGTCGTCTACATGTTGTATTTTGAGGGGAAGACTATGCACCAATATAGAAAGACTCTGAACAGGTCTGTGAAAACTGCGGAAGTGTCAGAATCGATCGCATTGTACATTTATTTATAGTCATGTAGACTATAAACAAGCAGTTATATAACGTTTGATAATGTAATTTAGTATAAATACTTGTTGTCGTTGGCTCTGTCACTGTCGTCGTTGTTGGAGACAGTGTTGATGTTGTCGTAGTCATAATCGGTTCTGCAGAAACAAATATGAAAACAATAAAAGGACAACTTTTGTTCTGGAACCGGAAATGACAATGACAAAAACATGTGAAATAAACAACACTCACAGCAATTAACTAAAACTAAGTTTTACCTGTTTCATAGATACCAATGGCACATCTTTCCGGCATGTATGGGCTGTAGGTGCTGCAACAGTGCTCAGTCATGGCCGGCTCCGGTCTCTGCCACTTGCCGTCATGGCATCGCATCCAGTAGCAGTCCGAATTGATGTGAGTGTCCGAATCCTGGCACTCAGCTGTAAAGGAAGACACTTTAGTGAAACCTTGGTAACGTGGAGAGAGGAAGACATTATAGTGAAACCGTAATAGAGTGGAGGAAAGAATCATTGTTGTGTAACCATGGTAACTTGAAGGTAGACAGGATGGTATGTACATTGCAAATAATGTTTCATCAAACACAGTTGATAAGTCCGAGGTACCCTGTCACATTGTGTCTTTAGTTTTTACTCACTTGTGTTTGAAGGTGTTGTGGTCAAAAGTTCTGAAATGAAGATGATAAACATCGTTTAAGATTAAACTCTTTATAATAAAATAACTTGAAATAAAGCTGAATGAATTAAAAATGACTTATTTACGTTGGTAGAGGATTTTTTTGTGACATCACTATGAGTAAGCTGTACAATAGTACAATTTAAGGTAAAAATTCAAAATGAATTTGATGAAAGCGTGCGAGTGAAAGACCACGTGCAGCGGACACACAACTGAAGTCATGACATGTAAGATTGAACATCCTTTAATTACCTGCCCTGGTGGCTCAGTGGGAAAACAGTGGGTTACGAAACTAAACACGATATGTGAGGTTGCAGTTTACTACACGTTATGGAAGTTTCATGTTAAAAAAATTGGTGACCGGTAACCAATCAAAAATCAACATTAGATTCATATCAAAAGGCCAGTTTATATAACTCAACTGTTAAATCTTGGTCTTACAATTCAATTAAAGCTGGGGCATTTACTTCCGAATGCCCGGGGTTTTCTGGTGAAGGAATACATTCGCAATTTATCAATATGTCAAAGAACCTAATCACACAACAGTGTTTCGTCATAAAAGGTTGATAAGTTTGAAACTAGTTTGTATACCAGGGTACAGCTGCAGACATCGGGACGACCGCGTCCACGTACAACAGAGTAATGTTTCGGAATCGTCGCGCACCGTCAGTGTCTGTATGTTGTTGAAACAGTCGAGGCAGAAGGCGTACTGACCACAGATGCCGTGGTTATGGTGCATTGTGTGGCATACTGAAACAGACGAGACATGCATGGTCAGTATGTCACATATGATTATGAAGTCATATTCTATAAGGAAGATGAATATGCTGATTATGTATCATCTACGAATTCAATAAAAGCAGATATGTGAACAACATCGATCTTAACAGTCAAAACTGAGGGTTTATTTGTTCGGAGTCAGTACATCATCCCTTGTGACAAGGATTTCAGTTTGGCTTTTCCTTATCAACAAAAGGTCTTCATCAACTGAATCAAGTGCTTAAATTGAGAGGTTACGTCTACTTTTAGAAGAAATAATTAACAGTAACTTACAGCATGGTGTGGTTGTTGGAACTGAAAAAAGATACATATCTACGTGTATACATATGTAACATGTACAATCGACTTTCATTATTAAAGGGTAAAATGCGTACAACCGGTGTAACTTTAGGCGTTTCTCCCAGAATAAGCCATGATATAACTGATTACTTCTTGCAACAGCGTTTACCAGAATTCACTTCTTGTTTCACGAAAGGAAACAGTTGAATAGTTGATGGCATATCATTGAGGAAATACAGTGAACGAAAATTATTTACTTAAGCCGCCGTCGTCTGTATGTTGTATTTTGAGGGGAAGATTATGCACCAATATAGTGAGACTCTGAACAGGTCTGTGGAAACTGCGGAAGTGTCAGAATCGATCGCATTGTACATTTATTTATAGTCATGTAGACTATAAACAAGCAGTTATATAACGTTTGATAATGTAATTTAGTATAAATACGAGTTGTCGTTGGCTCTGTCACTGTCGTTGTTGTTGGCGACGGTGTTGACGTTGTCGTAGTCATAATCGGTTCTGCAGAAACAAATATGAAAACAATAAAAGGACAGAACTTCTGTACTGGAACCGGAAATGACAATGACAAAAACATGTGAAAAAAACAACACTCACAGCAAATAACTAAAACTAAGTTTTACCTGTATCATAGAAACCAAGGGCACAGTTTTCCGGCGTGTATGGGCTGTACGTGCTGCAACAGTGCTCAGTGATGGCTGGTTCCGGTCTCTGCCACTTGCCATCTTTGCATCGCATCCAGTAGCAGTCCGAATTGATGTGAGTGTCCGAATCCTGGCACTCAGCTGTGGAGGAAGACATTATAGTGAAACCTTGGTAACGTGTACAGAGGAAGACATTATAGTGAAACCGTAATAGAGTGGAGGGAAGAATCATTGTTGTGTAACCATGGTAACTTGAAGGTAGACAGGATGGTATGTACATTGCAAATAATGTTTCATCAAACACAGTTGATAAGTCCGAGGAACCCTGTCACTTTGTGTCTTTAGTTTTTACTCACTTGTGTTTGAAGGTGTTGTGGTCAAAAGTTCTGAAATGAAGACGATAAACATCGTTTAAGATTAAACTCTTTATCATAAAATAACTTGAAATAAAGCTGAATGAATTAAAACTGACTTATTTACGTTGGTAGAGGATTTTTTGTGACATCACTATGAGTAAGCTGTACAATAGTACAATTTAAGGTAAAAATTCAAAATGAATTTGATGAAAGCGTGCGAGTGAAAGACCACGTGCAGCAGACACACAACTGAAGTCGTGACATGTAAGATTGAACATCCTTTAATTACCTGCCCTGGTGGCTCAGTGGGAAAACAGTGGGTTACGAAACTAAACACGTTCTGTGAGGTTGCAGTTTACTACACGTTAAGTTTCATGTGAAAAAAATGGTGATCGTTAACCAATCAAAAATTAACATTAGATTCATATCAAAAGGCCAGTTTATATAACTCAACTGTTAAATCTTGGTCTTACAATTCAATTAAAGCTGGGACATTTACTTCCGAATGCCCGGGTTTTTTTCTGGTGAAGGAATACATTCGCAATTTATCAATATGTCTAAGAACCTAATCACACAGCAGTGTTTCGTCACAAAAGGTTGATAAGTTTGAAACTAGTTTGTATACCAGGGTACAGCTGCAGACATCGGGACGACCGCGTCCACGTACAACAGAGTAATGTTTCGGAATCGTCGCGCACCGTCAGTGTCTGTATGTTGTTGAAACAGTCGAGGCAGAGGGCGTACTGACCACAGATGCCGTGGTAATGGTGCATTGTGTGGCATACTGAAACAGGCGAGACATGCATGGTCAGTATGTCACATGTGATTATGAAGTCATGTTCTATATTGAAAACGAATATGCTGATTATGTATCATCTACGAATCCAATAAAAGCAGATATGTGAACAACATCGATCTTAACAGTCAAAACTGAGGGTTTATTTGTTCGGAGTCAGTACATCATCTCTTGTGACAAGGATTTCAGTTTGGCGTTTCCTTATCAACAAAAGGTCTTCATCAACTGAATCAAGTGCTTAAATTGAGAGGTTACGTCTACTTTTAGAAGAAATAATTAACAGTAACTTACAGCATGGTGTGGTTGTTGGAACTGAAATAAAAATACATATCTACATGTATACATATGTAACATGTACAATCGACTTTCATTATTAAAGGGTAAAATGCGTACAACCGGTGTAACTTTAGGCGTTTCTCCCAGAATAAGCCATGATATAACTGATTACTTCTTGCAACAGCGTTTACCAGAATTCACTTCTTGTTTCACGAAAGGAAACAGTTGAATAGTTGATGGCATATCATTGAGGAAATACAGTGAACGAAAATTATTTACTTAAGCCGCCGTCGTCTGTATGTTGTATTTTGAGGGGAAGATTATGCACCAATATAGTGAGACTCTGAACAGGTCTGTGGAAACTGCGGAAGTGTCAGAATCGATCGCATTGTACATTTATTTATAGTCATGTAGACTATAAACAAGCAGTTATATAACGTTTGATAATGTAATTTAGTATAAATACGAGTTGTCGTTGGCTCTGTCACTGTCGTTGTTGTTGGCGACGGTGTTGACGTTGTCGTAGTCATAATCGGTTCTGCAGAAACAAATATGAAAACAATAAAAGGACAGAACTTCTGTACTGGAACCGGAAATGACAATGACAAAAACATGTGAAAAAAACAACACTCACAGCAAATAACTAAAACTAAGTTTTACCTGTATCATAGAAACCAAGGGCACAGTTTTCCGGCGTGTATGGGCTGTACGTGCTGCAACAGTGCTCAGTGATGGCTGGTTCCGGTCTCTGCCACTTGCCATCTTTGCATCGCATCCAGTAGCAGTCCGAATTGATGTGAGTGTCCGAATCCTGGCACTCAGCTGTGGAGGAAGACATTATAGTGAAACCTTGGTAACGTGTACAGAGGAAGACATTATAGTGAAACCGTAATAGAGTGGAGGGAAGAATCATTGTTGTGTAACCATGGTAACTTGAAGGTAGACAGGATGGTATGTACATTGCAAATAATGTTTCATCAAACACAGTTGATAAGTCCGAGGAACCCTGTCACTTTGTGTCTTTAGTTTTTACTCACTTGTGTTTGAAGGTGTTGTGGTCAAAAGTTCTGAAATGAAGACGATAAACATCGTTTAAGATTAAACTCTTTATCATAAAATAACTTGAAATAAAGCTGAATGAATTAAAACTGACTTATTTACGTTGGTAGAGGATTTTTTGTGACATCACTATGAGTAAGCTGTACAATAGTACAATTTAAGGTAAAAATTCAAAATGAATTTGATGAAAGCGTGCGAGTGAAAGACCACGTGCAGCAGACACACAACTGAAGTCGTGACATGTAAGATTGAACATCCTTTAATTACCTGCCCTGGTGGCTCAGTGGGAAAACAGTGGGTTACGAAACTAAACACGTTCTGTGAGGTTGCAGTTTACTACACGTTAAGTTTCATGTGAAAAAAATGGTGATCGTTAACCAATCAAAAATTAACATTAGATTCATATCAAAAGGCCAGTTTATATAACTCAACTGTTAAATCTTGGTCTTACAATTCAATTAAAGCTGGGACATTTACTTCCGAATGCCCGGGTTTTTTTCTGGTGAAGGAATACATTCGCAATTTATCAATATGTCTAAGAACCTAATCACACAGCAGTGTTTCGTCACAAAAGGTTGATAAGTTTGAAACTAGTTTGTATACCAGGGTACAGCTGCAGACATCGGGACGACCGCGTCCACGTACAACAGAGTAATGTTTCGGAATCGTCGCGCACCGTCAGTGTCTGTATGTTGTTGAAACAGTCGAGGCAGAGGGCGTACTGACCACAGATGCCGTGGTAATGGTGCATTGTGTGGCATACTGAAACAGGCGAGACATGCATGGTCAGTATGTCACATGTGATTATGAAGTCATGTTCTATATTGAAAACGAATATGCTGATTATGTATCATCTACGAATCCAATAAAAGCAGATATGTGAACAACATCGATCTTAACAGTCAAAACTGAGGGTTTATTTGTTCGGAGTCAGTACATCATCTCTTGTGACAAGGATTTCAGTTTGGCGTTTCCTTATCAACAAAAGGTCTTCATCAACTGAATCAAGTGCTTAAATTGAGAGGTTACGTCTACTTTTAGAAGAAATAATTAACAGTAACTTACAGCATGGTGTGGTTGTTGGAACTGAAATAAAAATACATATCTACATGTATACATATGTAACATGTACAATCGACTTTCAATGCGTACAACCGGTGTAACTAAACCTAAACGATGACAGTCACAGAAAAGGGTATTCAATATGCTAATGGACAAAAGAACCTTAACCAAATTGAAAATGGAATGTCAAAAATATTATTAGCTATTATCGAATGCAACTAATTGCAGAAACATAACCTGATCACATCAACAGTTTCTGGAGAGAAGATGTTGGCAAAGGGCACCGCTGCGCACAAGCTATTGATTTTCAAGGGATTTTCCACGGCAACGAAATGTCTTACCTGTCGTAGTAGGAGGGAACATCACTGAAATTAGAAGGGGAAACCTTTATTTACATATTTGACATCGCTAAATGTAATCATGTCTTCAAAAATATGATAATTTAAATTCCCAAGGTTGCCTTGGTATTATGAACGGTATATTGTGAACAGCTAAAACAAAACAATCACTCGACTGCTACTGTGAGCAATAAAAGCTGAAGTGCGACTGGTCCTTGGTACACCCCATCTTCTGTTCTTACACCGGCGATGTATCTGTCAAGGCACAAGTTGTATATGTCATTACAATCAACATTGTCTTAGTAATAAGGTTCATACCATCACATCCGCCCTCACTGTAGGCCATGTCGAGGCGATTTTCGGGTTGGCAACAATATTCCGAGATAACTGCCCACACCAAATCCATAAGGCGACCGCCCGAGCACTTGCGATACGCACAGCCATTCACCTCATCAGAAGTACATCCTAATAATAACACATGTGTATTGAGCAGTAAAATATATAGGCTATATATGTATAAGCAAAGTTAAATATCAAATGAGTTAATACAAATAGGTTTACTCAAAATTTTATTTTGTATATCTTTACAGATTTTAATACTTTAGTGCAGACGTAATCACAAGTGCTTGACCAAAATTACATTACAAGTATTCACTCATAATTTTACATTTCATGTCTTGCTGTCTTAAAAAGTGTTATTTTATATTCATAGCAATTTAATATTCTTTAATTCTTTTGATAAAGTGTTATAAAATATTACATGTTCACATAGCAACGTCATCGATTTACTGGCTGTGCACAATCTAACAGTATATCTTTATTTCTTATATACATTATACACGATGGTTGACATGAACTTACGTGGGAGGTATAGTTCTGAAAGGAAAGAAAGGTCATTTGTTTATAAACATTTACAATTTGTTCATTGCCATACCAAGAACTTGTTTGACTACGTGGACATAACTTCTTTCAAATAAGCATTGTGAACAAGCGTAAACTATCAATTGTTAATGCGAGAATAACATGCCTAGATTTTCCGCGAAAAAAGATTCCATTTGGCGTAAAGGGAAAATAGCTGTAGAAATTATATGAATGGACCCCTGAAAATCAGTGATGGCACTAGGTGTTCGCGAAAAGGGTAGGCTTGCTTTGCATGTCCACAAGTTATGAATTGCCTTCAAATGGGTACAATTCGTGCGTAAATAAGTTATTTCGCGTGTGCATTCAGCAGTATTACACCTGTCTGTAGGTAGTGTGTGTGATGGTATGAGAATGGTGTGAAATATTGTAGGCAGAGTGTGTGATGGTGTGAGAATAGTGTGAAATATTGTAGGTAGTGTGTGTGATGGTGTGAGAAAAGTGTGGTATGTTGTGAGAATTAGTGTGAAATCTTGCAGGCAGAGTGTGTGATGGTGTGACAATAGTGTGAAATGTTGTAGGCAAAGTGTGTGATGGTGTGAAAATAGTGTGAAATGTTGTAGGCAAAGTGTGTGGTGGTGTGAAAATAGTGTGAAAAGTTGTAGGCAGATTGTGTGATGGTGTGAGAGTAGTGTGAAATATTATAGGCGGAGTGTATGATGGTGTGAGAATAGAGTGCAATGTTGTAGGTAGTGTGAGTGATGGTATGAGAATAGTATGAAATGCTGTAGGCAGATTGTGTGATGGTGTGAAAATAGTGTGAAATATTGTAGGCAGAGTGTGTGATGGAGTGAGAATAGTGTGAAATATTGTAGGTAGTGTGTGTGATGGTGTGAGAATAGTGTGGTATGTTGTGAGAATTAGTGTGAAATCTTGCAGGCAGAGTGTGTGATGGTGTGAACATAGAGTGCAATGTTGTAGGTAGTGTGTGTGATGGTATGAGAATATGTGAAATGTTGTAGGCAAAGTGTGTGGTGGTGTGAAAATAGTGTGAAAAGTTGTAGGCAGATTGTGTGATGGTGTGAGAGTAGTGTGAAATATTATAGGCGGAGTGTATGATGGTGTGAGAATAGAGTGCAATGTTGTAGGTAGTGTGAGTGATGGTATGAGAAAAGTATGAAATGCTGTAGGCAGATTGTGTGATGGTGTGAAAATAGTGTGAAATATTGTAGGCAGAGTGTGTGATGGTGTGAGAATAGTGTGAAATATTGTAGGTAGTGTGTGTGATGGTGTGAGAATAGTGTGGTATGTTGTGAGAATAAGTGTGAAATCTTGCAGGCAGAGTGTGTGATGGTGTGAACATAGAGTGCAATGTTGTAGGTAGTGTGTGTGATGGTATGAGAATATGTGAAATCTTGTAGGCGGAGTGTGTGATGGTGTTAGAAGAGTGTGAAATATTGTAGGCAGAGTGTGTGATGGTGTGAGGCTATTGTGTTGTAGGCATTTACATTCCTCTTTTGTACTGGATTCCAAAGCTCAATATAAAATCCGTACACAATGAGATATAATGCTGGGTCAAGCAAATGTACCACCAAATCCCCATTCCGACGGTTAACCATAATCCTTAATACAATCTAGGAATGACTTTCTTTATATTCACAGAACGTACCTGCGACAAGTGGTATTAAAACCATGTGATTTCTAATAAACTCAAATGTGTTTCTTGACGTTTTACAATCTCAGATAAGAACCATGTTCAATTCTGTAAAAGTATTTGATTTTTCAACTTTATACACTATTATCCCACATGAAAACTTATGGAAAACTTCATTCCTTTATCCATGGAGCTTTTGTTACAAAACGTAATGACTATAGATACAGTTACATATATATCTTCACAGCTTAGGGTCAATTGTCAAAAATGAGGCAAATGCTCATCTGTTCGGATTGGCAAAGTCAAAACAAGGTGATTTGGCCAAGAAGTTTAACTTAATATTCAGGTATATCGATGAACCATCAAATAGTCAATTTCCTGCCGCTGATTTACCCACCACAACTAGAAATAAAGGAGATCAGAGAGACCGCCTCATCTCTTTCATAATTAGGTTTATACATAAAGACTGTATAGGAAGAGTGATGACTTCAACTTTTTCCTTCTGTTCAGCAATATTCCTGCAGCTCCAGCCATTCAAAGCCTTTGAGGTACAATAGAGCATGTTCGATTTTATGGTAGACATGCGGTGGTAATTTCCAAATTTGACGCATCAGTGACAAGAATTATGTCCGATGCATTTTCCTACTTTGACCTGTACCATGTTCCCGTGGTTTTTCAGGTGAACAATTGACTTGCCCTTGGATGTGTTTATAACGGCATGCTACGCTCAACTTTTCGCGAACATCGTGTGTGAGTGTGTGGATATGGTTTGTGTTGGTTTGGACATGATGTTTCATTGTGTGGACATCGTGTGTGTGTGTGTGTGTGTGTGTGTGTGTGTGTGTGTGTGTGTGTGTGTGTGTGTGTGTGTGTGTGTGTGTGTGTGTGTGTTTGTGTGTGTGTGTGTTTGTGTGTGTGTGTGCGCGGATGTGGGTAGGTGGGTGGGTGCGTGCGTGCGTGCGTGCGTGCGTGTGGGGGGGGGGGGGGGACATGATGTGATCGTGTGGATATGGTTTGTGTAAGTGTTGACATGATGTTTGATTGTGTGGACATCGTGTGTGTGATTGTGGGGACATGGTGTTTTATTGTGATGGCATTGTGTGAATGTGTGGATATGGTTTGTGACAGTGTGAACATAGTGTGTAGATATGGTAACAACATTTCTTAACTACCTGGAAACGTGTTGTAGCAATCCTGGGACCAGGGAGAGGTGTGCATCACAAACTCTTCACAGCATGTAAGGGTCAAAGATGGTTGGGTTGCCAAATTCCCACTCACACAGTAGAGATCCCAGCAATGACTGTAACCCTGTTGTAGCAGCCCGTTACCAGAACACATTGCTGAAATAGTACAGGATGTTTTACAAATAATTCCTTGACTATAAGAAACCTTTGAACCCAATTAACTACTTGTTTCATGAAAGGAAAGAGTTGAATGATTGATGGCATATCATGGAGGAAATACAGTGAGCGAAAATTATTTACTTATGCCGTCGTCGTCTACATGTTGTATTTTGAGGGGAAGATTATGCACCAATATAGAGAGACTCTGAACAGGTCTGTGAAAACTGCGAAAGTGTCAGAATCGATCGCATTGTACATTTATTTATAGTCATGTAGACTATAAACAAGCAGTTATATAACGTTTGATAATGTAATTTAGTATAAATACGTGTTGTCGTTGGCTCTGTCACTGTCGTCGTTGTTGGAGACGGTGTTGACGTTGTCGTAGTCATATTTGGTTCTGCAGAAACAAATATGAAAACAATAAAAGGACAGAACTTTTGTACTGGAACCTGAAATGAAAATGACAAAAACATGTGAAATAAACAACACTCACAGCAAATAACTAAAACTAAGTTTTACCTGTTTCATAGATACCAATGGCACATCTTTCCGGCATGTATGGGCTGTACGTGCTGCAACAGTGCTCAGTCATGGCCGGCTCCGGTCTCTGCCACTTGCCGTCATGGCATCGCATCCAGTAGCAGTCCGAATTGATGTGAGTGTCCGAATCCTGGCACTCAGCTGTAAAGGAAGACATTATAGTGAAACCTTGGTAACGTGGAGAAAGGAAGACATTATAGTGAAACCGTAATAGAGTGGAGGAAAGAATCATTGTTGTGTAACCATGGTAACTTGAAGGTAGACAGGATGGTATGTACATTGCAAATAATGTTTCATCAAACACAGTTGATAAGTCCGAGGAACCCTGTCACCTTGTGTCTTTAGTTTTTACTCACTTGTGTTTGAAGGTGTTGTGGTCAAAAGTTCTGAAATGAAGACGATAAACATCGTTTAAGATTAAACTCTTTATAATAAAATAACTTGAAATAAAGCTGAATGAATTAAAAATGACTTATTTACGTTGGTAGAGGATTTTTTTGTGACATCACTATGAGTAAGCTGTACAATAGTACAATTTAAGGTAAAAATTCAAAATGAATTTGATGAAAGCATGCGAGTGAAAGACCACGTGCAGCGGACACACAACTGAAGTCATGACATGTAAGATTGAACATCCTTTAATTACTTGACCTGGTGGCTCAGTGGGAAAACAGTGGGTTACGAAACTAAACACGATGTGTGAGGTTGCAGTTTACTACACGTTCTGGAAGTTTCATGTGAAAAAAATTGTGACCGTTAACCAATCAAAAATCAACATTAGATTCATATCAAAAGGCCAGTTTATTTAACTCAACTGTTAAATCTTGGTCTTACAATTCAATTAAAGCTGGGGCATTTCCTTCCGAATGCCCGGGGTTTTCTGGTGAAGGAATACATTCGCAATTTATCAATATATCAAAGAACCTAATCACACAGCAGTGTTTCGTCACAAAGGTTGATAAGTTTGAAACTAGTTTGTATACCAGGGTACAGCTGCAGACATCGGGACGACCGCGTCCACGTACAACAGAGTAATGTTTCGGAATCGTCGCGCACCGTCAGTGTCTGTATGTTGTTGAAACAGTCGAGGCAGAAGGCGTACTGACCACAGATACCGTGGTTATGGTGCATTGTATGGCATGCTGAAACAGGTGAGACAGTATGCCACATGTGATTACGAAGTCATATTCTGTATGGAAGACGAATATGCTGACCTGGAGTCATCGACGAATTCAAGCAAAGCAGATATGTGTACCATGTAGATCCTGTTTACGCAGAAAATTGAGGCTTTATTTGTTGGTATATGGTTATGGGAGTCAGTACATCATCATTTAGGTTCGGTGTTTCCTTGTCAACAATAGGTCTTCATCAACTGCATCAAGTGCTTAAATCTAGACATTACGTCTATCTTTAGAAGAAAGTAACAGTAACTTACGGCATGTTGTAGTTGTAGCTGAAATAAAGATATATGTCTACATGTATACATATGTAAGATGTTCAGTCGACTTCCAATGTTATTTTAGTGAGTTGCAGATCGTGGGTCGTGTCGGATAGGTTGGGATCCGGTCGGACTAGATCTAGGCGACTATGCTTGTCGTAAAAGGGTGGTCAGGCTCGCTGACTTGGTTGATGCATGTCATCGTATCCCAATTGCGTGGGTCGATGCTCATGATATCAATCACTGGATTGTCTGGTCCAGACTCGACTATTTACAGCCCGCTGTCGTATGGCTGGAATATTGCTGCGAGCGGCTTTAAACAACAAACAAACAAATAAAACACATTGCATGAAGTATCAGTTGAACAGACTACTCATAAATGCCAATGAATAAACATTTTATGGTCACACATGAACTAATATTGTCCTTTAAAGATGATGCTATATAGTACGCAGATCGACCCGAATCCCTATGTCATAGTATTCGTTAGACTATCCAGTAATCCGGAGTATCCTTTTCAGTTTATATCAGTGTGTATAAAAAGGAAATTGCTTCCACAAGGGGTCCATGGACCATGGAAATCTGTACGAACAACGACTTACGTGGCAGCGTGGTAAAAATCGGGGTCGGCATTGTGCTCGGATACCATGTGGTGGACTGAACTGTAACACACGAAGTTTACATGTATGAACCAACTGTTGCCACAAAACTACGTAGTCATTGTTAGCATGACAGGTGAAGTATACATGCAGGTGGCCACTGTTAGTATGACAGGTGAAGTTTCCATGCAGAAGGTCACTGTTAGCATGACAGGTGAAGTATAGATGCAGGAGGTCACTGTTAGCATGACAGGTGAAGGATAGATGCAAGTGGTCATTGTTAGCATGACAGGTGAAGTATAGATGCAGGAGGTCACTGTTAGCATGACAGGTGAAGTATAGATGCAGGAGGTCACTGTTAGTATGACAGGTGAAGTATAGATGCAGGTGGTCACTGTTAGCATGACAGGTGAAGTATAGATGCAGGCGGTCACTGTTAGTATGACAGGTGAAGTATAGATGCAGAAGGTCACTGTTAGTATGACAGGTGAAGTATAGATGCAGGAGGTCACTGTTAGTATGACAGGTGAAGTATAGATGCAGAAGGTCACTGTTAGTATGACAGGTGAAGTATAGATGCAGAAGGTCACTGTTAGCATGACAGGTGAAGTATACATGCAGAAGGTCACTGTTAGCATGACAGGTGAAGTATAGATGCAGGAGGTCACTGTTAGTATGACAGGTGAAGTATAGATGCAGGAGGTCATTGTTAGCATGACAGGTGAAGTATAGATGCAGGAGGTCACTGTTAGCATGACAGGTGAAGTATAGATGCAGGAGGTCACTGTTAGCATGACAGGTGAAGTATAGATGCAGGCGGTCACTGTTAGTATGACAGGTGAAGTATAGATGCAGGAGGTCATTGTTAGCATGACAGGTGAAGTATAGATGCAGGAGGTCATTGTTAGCTTGACAGGTGAAGTATAGATGCAGGCGGTCATTGTTAGCATGACATGTGAAGTATAGATGCAGGAGGTCACTGTTAGCATGACAGGTGAAGTATAGATGCAGGAGGTCACTGTTAGCATGACAGGTGAAGTATAGATGCAAGTGGTCATTGTTAGCATGACAGGTGAAGTATAGATGCAGAAGGTCACTGTTAGTATGACAGGTGAAGTATAGACGCAGGTGGTCACTGTTAGTATGACAGGTGAAGTATAGATGCAGGCGGTCATTGTTAGTATGACAGGTGAAGTATAGATGCAGGAGGTCACTGTTAGCATGACAGGTGAAGTATAGATGCAGGAGGTCACTGTTAGTATGACAGGTGAAGTATAGATGCAGAAGGTCACTGTTAGTATGACAGGTGAAGTATAGATGTAGAAGGTCACTGTTAGTATGACAGGTGAAGTATAGATGCAGAAGGTCACTGTTAGTATGACAGGTGAAGTATAGATGCAGAAGGTCACTGTTAGTATGACAGGTGAAGTATAGATGCAGAAGGTCACTGTTAGCATGACAGGTGAAGTATAGATGCAGAAGGTCACTGTTAGCATGACAGGTGAAGTATAGATGCAGAAGGTCACTGTTAGTATGACAGGTGAAGTATAGATGCAGGCGGTCACTGTTAGTATGACAGGTGAAGTATAGATGCAGGCGGTCACTGTTAGTATGACAGGTGAAGTATAGATGCAGGCGGTCACTGTTAGTATGACAGGTGAAGTATAGATGCAGGAGGTCATTGTTAGCATGACAGGTGAAGTATAGATGCAGGAGGTCATTGTTAGCTTGACAGGTGAAGTATAGATGCAGGCTGTCATTGTTAGCATGACATGTGAAGTATAGATGCAGGAGGTCACTGTTAGCATGACAGGTGAAGTATAGATGCAGGAGGTCACTGTTTGCATGACAGGTGAAGTATAGATGCAAGTGGTCATTGTTAGCATGACAGGTGAAGTATAGATGCAGGAGGTCACTGTTAGAATGACAGGTGAAGTATAGACGCAGGTGGTCACTGTTAGTATGACAGGTGAAGTATAGATGCAGGCGGTCACTGTTAGTATGACAGGTGAAGTATAGATGCAGGAGGTCATTGTTAGCATGACAGGTGAATTATAGATGCAGGCGGTCACTGTTAGTATGACAAGTGAAGTATAGATGCAGGAGGTCACTGTTAGCATGACAGGTGAAGTATAGATGCAGGAGGTCACTGTTAGTATGACAGGTGAAGTATAGATGCAGAAGGTCACTGTTAGTATGACAGGTGAAGTATAGATGCAGAAGGTCACTGTTAGTATGACAGGTGAAGTATAGATGCAGAAGGTCACTGTTAGTATTACAGGTGAAGTATAGATGCAGAAGGTCACTGTTAGTATGACAGGTGAAGTATAGATGCAGAAGGTCACTGTTAGTATGACAGGTTAAGTATAGATGCAGAAGGTCACTGTTAGTATGACAGGTGAAGTATAGATGCAGGTGGTCACTGTTAGCATGACAGGTGAAGTATAGATGCAGGAGGTCACTGTTAGTATGACAGGTGAAGTATAGATGCAGAAGGTCACTGTCAGTATGACAGGTGAAGTATAGATGCAGGAGGTCACTGTTAGTATGACAGGTGAAGTATAGATGCAGGCGGTCACTGTTAGCATGACAGGTGAAGTATAGATTCAGGCGGTCACTGCTAGTATGACAGGTGAAGTATAGATGCAGGAGGTCACTGTTAGCATGACAGGTGAAGTATAGATGCAGGCGGTCACTGTTAGTATGACAGGTGAAGTATATATGCAGGAGGTCACTGTTAGTATGACAGGTGAAGTATAGATGCAGAAGGTCACTGTTAGTATGACAGGTGAAGTATAGATGCAGAAGGTCACTGTTAGCATGACATGTGAAGTATAGATGCAGGAGGTCACTGTTAGCATGACAGGTGAAGTATAGATGCAGGCGGTCACTGCTAGTATGACAGGTGAAGTATAGATGCAGGAGGTCATTGTTAGCATGACAGGTGAAGTATAGATGCAGGCGGTCACTGTTAGTATGACAGGTGAAGTATAGATACAGGTGGTCACTGTTAGTATGACAGGTGAAGTATGGATGCATGACGTCACTGTGAACATGACAGGTGAAGTATAGATACAGGGGGGTCACTGTTAGTATGACAGGTGAAGTATAGATACAGGGGGGTCACTGTTAGCATGACAGGTGAAGGATACATTCAGAGGTTACTTTCAGCATCAACAGGTGAGTCACGCATGCAGAGTTTACATTCAGCATCAACAGCTGAATCACGAATTCAGAGGTTACTTTCAGCATCAACAGATGAATCACGCATGCTGAGGTTACTTTCAGCATCAACAGGTGAATCACGCATGCAGAGGTTACTTTCAGCATCAACAGGTGAATCACGCATTCAGAGGCTACTTTTAGCGTGAACAGGTGAATCACGCATGCAGAGGTTACTTTCAGCATCAACAGGTGAATCACGCATGCAGAGGCTACTTTTAGCGTGAACAGGTGAATCACGCATGCAGAGGCTACTTTTAGTGTGAACAGGTGAATCACGCATGCAGAGGCTACTTTTAGTGTGAACAGGTGAATCACGCATGCAGAGGTTACTATTAGCGTGAACAGGTGAATCACGCATGCAGAGGTTACTTTTAGAGTGAACAGGAGAAGTGGACGTGCAAGTTTAGCATGAGAGAATGATGACACGAAACATAATAGTCTCAATTGCAAACGGGTATGTATTACTAATCATCCTAAAAACAATGAGAATATATCTTAAGCAAAGCGTTAATGATACGATTCAAAACTACTGAAACTGTTACAAAGTACAACGGGGGCCTTGCTACACTTCCCTTTACCTGAAAACGTCGATTCCTTTAGAATAAAACGGAACGATAGGGTAAATGGTCACGCCATGTGTTTTCCATCTTACCGAGGCAAGAGAGTTAACTGACTATAAAAGTCCAGTTTCCACCCTTGCCGAACTAGGCTGGTATTATGGAGTTACATTTTGGCTGGACTAACGAGTCTATGCATAGTCCAATAAAAATCGCGCACCGAAATCGAAATCCGGTTCGTAAACTGTCGTGCAGATTTCGGTTGATTGCAGGATTTGCAAAGCATGTGCACCGCCAACTCGTTGTCAGCAGATATTTTCCAAATCTTTTCATGTTTTTAATCAAGGTGCTCACGTGATTTGATGCATTTCGCTATGTAAAACCCGTCTTATCACAATATAGATCTTGATTATCGATCAGATCGTCCTGACCGGGCGCCACCATTTTGTGTGAAGCAAACGCAAGTGATACGAGAGGTGAAATCTGATTGGTCCATAGAAGAGGCTTAGAAGTGACATAACTGGTAATAGCCACTGGTGGCGCTACGATCGAGCCCAGGAATTCCAGCTGAGTTCGGCAAGGGTGGAAACTTGACTTTTAAAGTCAGTTAACACCTCTTGCCTCGGGAAGATGTGTGTTTTCTGAACAGGGTAATAAAGAATGCAATGCCGAACAGCCATAACCGATGGTGTATATATAATGTGTCACTGAGGTATATACCTGTGTCAGATATTAAACTACTCAATAACTAGTTTCTGGCCTTATTATTATTCTGTACAGATTAAAATAAAAAATGCAGCGAAGAGGGTTTAGGTGATCCTGGCACAGTGAGGCTTGTTAGGCCCATCATCAGCTCAGGGCCCTTGCCCCCTCTACACGCAGCCCAGACAGCGAATGGGACTTCTCCCAGGAAGCGCTGCCTAGTCAAACCCACCCAGAACCTTTCTAGAACCAAAATTCAAAATTCGTACCATGGATGGACCGCTGTGTCAAAACCACAAGCATGGCGAAGACGGTAAAAAATGATCGAGCTACACCATCATGTCGTTTCAGATACCGTGTCTGTGTCAAAGCTGGGCACCCACTGACAATGTGTTGGGCATTCTCATTTAATACATGACAAAATCTAGTAGTAGTAGTAGTAGTAGTAGTTAGTGGTAGTAGTAGTAGTGAGTGAGTATGGTTTTACGCCGATTTTAGACATATTCCAGCAATATCCCCGGGTGACACCAGAAATGGGCTTCACACATTGTACCCATGTCGGGAATCGAACCCGGGTCTTCGGCGTGACGAGCGCACGCTTTAACCACTAGGCTACCCGACCGCCCCTAATGTATGTGACCATGAGCTCGAACAAAAGATGGGAGCGTCACATTGTACTCTAATGCTGAAAGTTTGTTTTATATATTTTATTGTTGCAAAAGAAAACTTAAACATTTATACTACATCATAGGTTCATTGCTAGACTATATAAGATACATGCGTTTCACATTTTTATTCTTGCGTTGTTGTTTGGAGTACTCATTCATTCATGTATTTTGTGATTAAATACTATATTTTTCTGAACACGTAAAATTGATATTTCACTCGTGCTAATTAGTAGTAGTAAAAGTGAGTGAGTGAGTATGGTTTTACGCCGCTTTTAGCAATATTCCAGCAATGTCACGGCGGGGGACACCAGAAATTGGCTTCACACATTGTACCCATGTCGGGAATCGAACCCGGGTCTTCGGCCTGACGAGCGAACGCTTTAACCACTAGGCTACCCGACCAATGGGGTTTTATCTATCCCTCGACCAGTGGATCCGTTCGATAGAGAACATGTGGGTGTTTGGTCACTTTTACTCGATTGTCTGGTCAAGACTCGTTTGTTTACGGGCCACCGTTGTATGACAGGAGGGCTGCTGTGCGGCTTCAGGCAACAAACAAACACTTACTTTTTTATGTAGATTGTGTAACAGACGCTACCAATAGGGCAGGCCATGTTTCCCTTTCCGCGAACACCTGGTGCCATCACTTATTTTTACAGATCCATTCATAATATATTCATCACTAGAGCCTTTTACGCCTGGCGGAATCTGCTTAGGCAGATAATGAAGAATGAGTATCTCTGGCGATAAGGTTTTATATTTACCTGGGTAGGCGCTTTGGCAGAGGTCTGAATGGACGGGCTGTTGGCAGCACTCCTCTGACACCCGGAGTGTGACAAAATCACTGAGGTAACCACCCTCACACTTTATGACCCAGCACGAACCAGCGGACATCGGCTCATCCTCGGTACATGGTCCTGCAGAGCAAGATGTCGTAAGATGTTTAATGTCAATGAAGTGATGATGAGTACTATGATGATGATGATGATATTTTAGTTGTTCAGAAGTAACCAACTGTAATTTACACAGGACATCTCGACCAATAGCTGTTATAACAGTTCATCATCTCTGTAAATAAACAAGTATCATTTGTTGTTAGTCTACCGAGAATTGCTCAGTCAGCTAAGTTGCCACAATTCGCTGTGCAGAGTTGCGTCCCTTGGATAGACAAGTGAGTGAGTGAGTGAATGAGTATGGTTTTACGCCGCTTTTAGCAATATTCCAGCAATATCACGACGGGGGTCACCAGAAATGGGCTTTACACATTGTTCCAATGTCGGGAATCGAAGCCAGGTCTTCGGCGTGACGAGCGAACGCTTTAACCACTAGGCTACCCGACCGCCCCTGGATAAACAAGAAACCTATGATTATGGGTTCGAATTCCGATTCGCCCCGGTTATGTTCATAGGCTCGTGGTCGGTTTCACCAATGCGTTAAACGTATGAGACCTGCATCACTTCGGGCTTTTCTCCAAAAGTAAGCTGACACGCTCTGACATAACTGAAATACTATTCAAAGCGGCGTTAAACCTCACTGTTAGTCCACCCAGTCTATCATATAATCTGGCTTCTCCTGTTGATCTATATCACAAGTCCAAATCTGTTTCAGTTCGCCACTTCAATTCGGCATGATGTAGCCTCGAAACGCATTGTTTAGTGAATATAACGTTGAAATAAGGGTCGCTCGTGTCTCTACATACCAAACAACTATGGCGTTGAGAAGCCTTTTTTACTATGAAACAGCTTCTTGTCCAGACTGTGGCAACCATCTTCCCGAAGCAAGAGACTAGGCTGGAATTATTCTGTTCGATCGTAGCGCCATCAGTGGCTATTACGAGTTATGTCCCTTCTACAGACCAATCAGATTTCACGTCACATATCACTTCCTTTTGATTCAAACAAGTGAAGACGATCTGATCACTATTGTAATAAAACAGGTCTTACTGCGCGAAATGCATCAAATCACGTGGACACCTTGATTACAAACATGAAATGATTTGAAAAAATTCTGTTGACACTAAGACACTAAGCGATTTTGATTGGACTATGAATAGACTCGTTAGTCCAGCCAAAATATAACTCCATATTTCCAGCCTAGTTCGGCAAGGGTGGAAATTGGACTTATACACTCAGCTAACCCTCGGGAAGATGGATACAACGGGTTTGCTTTACATTAAACCGTATCTCAAGCTGATGGCCCAAACTCCGTCGTCAGCTTCAAATACCTCAATTCAATCCATGTGAACTTACAATGATATTAACGTTATGGAAATAAATAATTGAAACAGAATAAAGGGTATTTGCTGAGTGTGTTTTATTATTACCTTCATTCAAACAATTTTTGAAAACGGAAGAAAGCGTATTGTTGATGAGACCCGGTAACCCAAATACAGTGTGCCTAACAAAGGGAGAATACCGCTGTAGATGTGTAACCGCGCCAGACAGTGAGCGTGGAGAGAACACACCCAGTGAGTGGGGAGTGGTACTTATTCGTACCGTGAACGGCGACTTGCTTCAAGATCGACATACCTGACTGGTGTTTGTGTTTGCTTTTAACAGACAACACACTATAGACACATCCGGTACATAATTAGATTAGAATATTTGAGCATAAATACTTGTATCCCTCATTACATCACAGATGTGTTCATATGCCGCAGTGTCAGTGTACACAAGTGGCACCAGTAGCTCTAGGCGAATCCCCGTGAAAATCCGAGGTAGAACGGATCTTCAGGAACCCTTGTTTATCGCAAGAGGCGACTAACGGATCAGCTCGCTAACTTGATTTATGTACATGTATGTCACCGTATCCCAATTGCGTAGATCAATGCTCATGATATCAATCACGATTGTCTAGCCCACATTGACTATTTGCAGACCGCGTCATATAGCTGAAATAATGCTGAGCGAAACAACACACAAACAAGGAAAGGTGAAGGCGAGATCCCTACTGTACCAGCTCGTGGAATAGGAATGTGTTTGCTCATGGTGATATATTTTGTACCTAAATTACGATTACTGAACGTGAAATGCCAAATCACAAAGTCATGAAATACTTATTTGTAGTTATGTAGGCGTCAACATTTTAACGTTCCTGTTTTGAAGTAATACTTACTCGGCGCGGCTGTTGGGTCACCAATGCCTGAAAATACAATTTAGACTGTCGTCCATGTTACATGTTCATTGAAAGCACAGATAGTCAGACTGTACTGTTTTCATGGCGTGTGTAATTAAACAATGTACAACGAATTTGAAAGATTGAAGATTCATTTGTGTTGTACATTTTCGTGTTAACACTGTGCTTTCTAAATTCTGCCTATACTAACACCTATTTTAGTCCCAGAAATAAAATCTTATTCAAAAATATGTAGCTTGAAAATAACAAATTAAAATCCAATTAGAGCCCAGAACAATGTTTTCCTTCAATCTAGACATGAGGCAATCTAGATTTGCCAAATCATTCTAAACTAGAGTTGGTTTCATGTTTTAATATATTCTCTAGAGGTCTCGGAAACTTTGTGCTGCCTTCGTCGCGGTGGACTGTCGCAACAAAATGTCTCGCTGTATTTTATCTTCGCGCAGTTCATCTCACAAACATCACTCCATAATACTATTATTAATAATGTGTACTAGACTTGTCACGCTACTTACTCGACCCGGAAGCTTGGTGAACAGCAACTAAAATGATCAAGGCAAGACATCCGTCTTTCCGGGGCATCTTAACGTGGAGAAGACACTGCTGGTCAGCTCAGCTGTAGAGCGATGTGCCAGATCCGCGTCTTGTCTTCTATCATATATTTACGATCTTTTGAATAGGCTTTTGTTACGGTAAATAGTATACCTTGTAACGCTGACTTTCATACTGGAATGTCAAGGCGACACAATCTATTCAGACCGAATATATGTCACACAACACACGACAGCCTATAGAATTCTCAGAATGAGGCCAGGACTGTTTGGATGAATGAAAACCCAGTACACAAAGTTGTCACCCATCTATACACACGACTGGTGCATAAACGTCATATACATCTGGCTGTGACATTCTCCCGTGTGCCTTCACCGCTTTATGACAGTCTGACCGTTTTTCCGTAGAAGGTGACTGACCGCATGGGTTTGTAAGTCTGTTTATGTCTAATAGACATACATGTATATATTTACATTTTGCACTATCCAGACGAGAATGGCTTCTCAGAGCACTGCTAGGAAGATATAAACATACTTAATTTAAGATTTTGCATTGAAATTGCATTCTCACTGTAATTACATGATAGTTGAACTCAAATTGACAAACCATCCAGATAATTTAGGTGAGGGAAGTGTATTCGGCCTCACAACAGGCATCGTTGTTTGTACACCTAATGGTCAGTCTGTTTGACTTCGTGTCTGGTTGGAAGCCTCGCTCTTTTAGATGCTGTGACTGGTGGCAGCGATGGAACAGATAGAACCCGATGTTGTAGCTGATTCTCAGTGCAACTGTACACATAGGTCGCCATCGCCTCACACATCTCTGATATGAGTGAGTGAGTGAGTTTGGTTTATCGCCGCTTTTAACAGTATTCCAGTGCAAATACAGTTTTGTTTTGAGGTAAGTAACAACGCCTTGTGGACATTTTATCGAAAAATATTATTTGTCCAAGAAATTTATAGAAAAAAATAATTATGCTTTAGACTGTTGAATAAATAAGAATTGTCTGCCACAAAAAAATATGTTGTTGCAAAATGTTTTTTTACAAAAAGATATATTTGGGCTCATTCTATTAATTTAATATATAAATATATACTAGTAAATATATGCCAGTATATATTTACAGCTGCAGTTCCATACCTCAATACCAGAAGAAATGTTTACACTAGATGCTGACAAAGAGTCACATCGTCCAGTCCATCAGATTACTATCTGTTATCTATTATTACTGCTGTTGACACCGCCTCCGTGGTCTAGTGGTAGAGCGTCCGCCCGGAGAGTGGAAGGTCCGGGGTTCAATCTCAAAGCCGCGTCATACCAAAAGACGTTAAAAGATGGTACTTGTTGTTACCCTGTCTGGCGCTCGGCATTAAGGGGTTAAAGCAAGGACTGGTCGGCTCGGAGTCAGTATACTGTGTCTGTGTGGGGTATTCATGTTAAACTGCGGCATGGTATCTCAGTGGGCTAGCACTATAATTCGGCAACAGTCCGGACTGATACAAGCAGCCACATGTACATGCACGTCGCTATATAAGTGCAATAATCTTGGACGCGACGTTAAACCCAATTTCACCTCACCTCACCTCACTGCTGTTGAGAATACACTCATTTAAATATAGCGTTGTCCGACTGGTTTCAATTGGTTTTCGTCGAAAGAATATTGTACATAAATTCGCAAATTTATTTTGTCACATTCCTGTACCGTTTTATTGAGAAAGTGCGTGTGTATTTGCGGTTAAAGGAGTGCTCAAACCTAGTGTGACAATCTTTAAACTGTCAATGTGGTTCTACACGTACCTTACATTTTAGTTACACACATAAGCTAAGTCTAGTGTACTGAATCACGACGCTGTCGATGCTTGAACTGAGTACTCATATATACTGTATATATCATGTTTAATATGAACTGGACCAAACTCCAACGCAATTTATATAACAAGAGCAGGATCATGGATTTGCCACAGGCGATATGTGAACGACAGACGCTCTATCTGGTATTATTTGGACCGGCATTTCTTAATTTATCCAAACAAACACGATCACAAGTACAATATCAGTTGGTATGAATTGTGCGGAAAGCTTACTCGTAAATCAACGGCATTCAATATCTTCTTCACAGTAACCAGCAGACTAACACCTGTCGTCATGTTAAAGTGAAGTCTCTCTGTATGGGTCGCCTTCATTTGTTCGTCTCTTTTCGTGAGACCCAGGAGCGGGTATGAACAGCCCTGATGCTTTTGTGTTTCGATGACTCGGGCGTGGTACTATAACATCTATTCACCATATGTCCCCGTGATCCGGAACTACAATATATATATATAGGAGTATCGTAGGACAGAGGCACTGGCAACGTTTCAAACCTCACGTCAAGCTTACAGTGTACCTGTATTTGAATGCTAATGCGTTGACTTCTGTGTTCGTCCATTAAAGCACTTCTTAATACTTCAAGGTATATGTATAGAGATAGTGTGTATATGAGAACGTAATTATTTCACCCTGAACATTTGATCAGGAGTGAAATCAAGAGATCTGTTCCCTTTGAACGATATACAGTAAACTACGGTTATAACGAACACGCTTATAACGAACTGACCGATATAACGAACTTATTTTTTAGTCCCGGCCGTTTCTTGTATATAAGCTGTATATCTGCTAATAACGAACTACGGTTATAACGAACAAACATTAGTGGTCCCTTTGAGTTCGTTATAGCCGTAGTTTACTGTACCCGGGAAACAATATCTGTATTGCTTCAAAGGGCATATAACTGAAGCTAAGCGAGATAATTGAAAAGGACAAGCTTGGTATTCGTTTAATGCTTTCATTACTCTTAGTGTGTGGATGATGTGTTCATATGGCGCAGTATCAGTGTACATAATTGTCACCAGTCAGCTCAAGGCGAGTCCCCGTGAAAATCCGGGTTAGAACTGATCTTCAGTAAACCATGTTTGTCGTACGAGGCGACTGGCAGGATCGAGCGATCAGGCTCGCTGACTTGGCTGAAGCATGTCATCGTATCCCAATTGCGTGGATCGATGATCATGATGTCAATCACTGGATTGTGTGGTCCAGACTGGATTATTTACAGACCGCTCTCATATAGCTGGAATATTGCTGGACGGCATCTGCTTGTCATGTCGTAGGTGACCATGTTTACATTTTGAGTTACTGGCGGCCTGATTTGTCACACAAACAATTTGATATACACGTGTCACTAGCAGGGAGTACGGAATTATACGAGATGAGAGTTCGTGTACACCCTTTGACCTCCGGTCTCGTCGTTTACAAGACCGTTACTGACACATATTACTCATAATGCCATTACTCGTTAAAGATCTAATATAATTAATAATAATTCGGATTACCCACTCTCCGTCTCGTAAGAGCCGTTGGCAAGCATGTACGGTTATCATGACGTCATGATGTGACGTCACTTGCTTGTTACGTTACTCACGATCATAACGTGAGATTATGTAGACGCATGGAACACGTCTAAAACTTGTTTTTTACTTTCTTGTTGCTGTCACACGTGTATATGTTGTGCGTTGTATGTGACCATGAGGTCGAGCAAAAGATGGGAGCGTCAAATTGTATGCTAATGCTGAATGTTTGTTTTATATATTTTATTCTTGCAAAAGAAGAATTAAACTTTTATACTACCGAAAGGTTCATTGCTAGACTATATAAGATACATGCGTTTCACATTTATATTCTTGCGTTGTAGTTTGGAGTACTCATTCATGTATTTTGTGATTAAATACTATATTTTTCTGAAAACGTGAAATTGTTATTTCACTCGATTTTCATTCGATTCTGCCTTAATGTCACTGCGACAAAGAAAGTGGGATCAGAAAGAAAATAAATAACAAATAGAACATTTGGCTTTCCAATTCCATCTCCAATCACCAGGTCGGGGATAACCACCAATCGGCGTATAATAAGCCATCGACGCATTATACGTCAATTGGCGAATATAACATACGCCGACCGACGTATGTGAAGACATTTACAGCGCAGGCCATGCATAACTAATTTCCGACTGTGCGCCAGAGCGCCAATTGAAAGTGGCCAAACCCCCACTTGCGACAGAAATGTCAATTTAGTCAATAAAACTAGAATTTGACCACACATGGCACACAAATACAACCCCAGTCAACTTACTTGCACACGTATCAGGCTCAACCACAATGTTATACTTCTGTTTGTTCAGTTTAATGCACATACACCGCTCAGTCGTACATCTGCAACGCCACGTTACTCTGCACCGGAAACAGTACTAAACGATAAAACGAGATGTTGACTGGGAAATGAATGCACAAGTCCAAACAAACAATTTCTATGGAGGCCCAGTGGCTGGTCATAATTGAAGAAATCCGAATTACAAAATGAAATGGAAAATCAAACCGTAAAACAAATACAAATTAAGGGAAAATTGTCATGGCAACAGTGTACACGCATAACACATGTTGTCTACCATTGTTACATAAATAGAACGAGCCATCTGAGTGGTTAATAATCGTTCGCAAAGGTGTATTTAAAGCTATGTCATGATAGTAATTGTGTCTGACTGCAACTAACTGGAGAGGAAATCATCGAACATCAGGAGGAGGCTAGTGGACAAGACAAAGATACCATGGAGGTGGGATTAGACAGTAATTTGCAAAGAAATAATGCATGAAACAGCATCTCATAATGGAAACATAAATACACTTTTTAGAACAAGACTTAGGAAGTATTGTCCAACCCTCACTTCACATCCGGGCTTGGCACCGACAAAAGCGGGTTTAAAGTTAAAACCATAGATCGTTATTGCACATCGCACGACACAATGAACTATATCACAGTGGATTGCCACGAAAATATATCACAGATGAATCAGTGTACGCTAGTGTCACTGTCACTCCATTTTCACTGAGGAATGAAATATCACAGATGACGCATGAATCATGAAGGTACTTCATGTGAGTGGCGTGCAGGTCAAGCAGTTGAGGAAACTGTAAATATAGAAAAATACATTTTAACCGATGCCGGAAACCTACCGATATACAAAACGTCAACAAACACAGGCTTAAAAAACCTACATTGGTGAAAACTCATCACAAGGGACCAATGCCCAGAACATGTGTGACATACTCAAAAAAAAGATCCATCACCCTCTGCTCCAGAAAGCGAA